GATGCTTTCTGTTGAGTCTGCTGATGGGGTCTTGTGGATGTTTACTGCTAGTTTGTTCTCTTCACAATTCCTAGTAATTTCCCTTGATAAGTGTTCTGATTTCTGGTAATGAAACTGAATGGGTGTGTTGTTTCTCCTTTGTTTCAATTTTTGTAAGTTTGTCTTCTAACTCAGTGCCCACTGAATGAGTGGAAAGCATTCGGATCACATTTAACCTGTCTCACTTAGATATATTACCTCGGCTCGCAGACGTGAAAGGTAACGAACGAGCGGACCGACTGGCCGGCAATGGGCCACCGCATGTAGGAAGAAGCATGGACAGAGCAGATATCATCAACGTTGTATGGATGAGGATAATGATGAATTTCTGACACTAACATGATTGCGTAGCATGAGAGTAAAACATGGTGAAGTTTATATTGCATTCGAGACCGATACAGAAGATACTATTACCAGCTCCCCGTGGGAACAATTAACAGAGGTATTTTTAAGTGGCTACTGCATTGGCGTTCAGGGACGTTGACTGATAGGATATATTAAGAAAAATTCATGGTATGTCATTTAGAGACTATATCATAAATGACGAGGTTCGCCTTATAATTAACCAGCACATTGGCAACTAGAGACTCTGGACGGAAAATGCGATTGAACATACATGTAATAAAATTTAACGGCCTCTCAAAAACAAGACTACAAGGCTCAGTAGAGGGGAAGAAGAGAAGGGGCGCAACAAGAAAGATCCATCGCATCTCACCATCAAAGATAGAGGTAGCTGATAAGACAGTCATTATCAGCTGGTGACCCGACGACACACAGTGTAACGTAACGACGATGGTGATGAACACAACATAACATAACATAATATAACATAACATAATATAACATAACATAATAGGCGTTTGATTTCCGCTGGCTAGAGAACACGACACACACACACATCGTAATTGTAACTGATTCAGAAAGCATGCTGAGGAAGATCAGAACAGGTATGTTTCGTGCAGAGTGAATTAATCAAGTAACAGACAATGTATTGACCTTCACCCATAGAAAGAAGTAGAAAGATAGAAGAACACATGAGTGCCGATCAATACACTTTCTGTTGCTTGATTAATTCATAATATTTAACGGCCTCAAAGGTTCCCCCTCTGTTTATTTATTTGTGCAAAGTGGCATGCTTCGCTGCGGAGGACACGGGTAAGGAGTATTGTCTGGATTTTTTTCACCGGGTCACGCCGGTGTGTTGGGAAATTAACAGTCGGACAGACTGGCTCTGCACAACTTGGTGGAAAACTGATTCATGATAAGGCAGACGTGGTTAGTGCCTTGTGGGAGAGCGTGTACAGTTCGGAGGAGCAGATGGATCACCACAGTCTGGTAAGATTGATGCAGTGGGGAGTGACAAGAGGTTCTGGTAGGTGCTCGAGGAGAGGCCAGACGGACGTTTAATAAGAATGCTACTGACACCATTAGTATCGGAACTCTACTCTGGATGCTGAAGATGGAGACGGAGCGCTTATGTGAATGCCCCGAGTGCTGTGATGTCGGTTCTTGAATCAAATAAAATAAATTATTGATTTCTTCGGTTATTAAAAAAAATTATTCTCGTTGATTTCGTTAAGTAATACCAGATGCGCGACGACGAAGAGACTGTGGCTTTAATTCTTTTTAAAGTCTGATGTATAAAATCCACATGTGTGTGTCGTTCAACCACACCAAGACGGCACAACGAGCGACCAACACTTCCACTGGAGTATAATTCACAGACTTTTCGAGGAATGCATTTTAATGAAATCTTCTGAACTGTAAAATGGGAATGTCGTATATCAGTCCAGATAGGTTGACACAATTAAAACTTGAAAGAGAGCTTCTGTTCAATGGCTAGGGTCAGGGCACTTACCAAGTTTACAGTTTTTTTGGTTTTTTTTAGATTGGGGGGGGGGGGGGGGGGCTTTGGACCCCCTTCAAAAAATGTTGTTGGGGGAGCGAGGGGCCTGAAACCCTATCTTCTGGCCACCCTGTGTCAGTTTCCCCTAGTCAGACTACCCGAACCTCTGAGTATGTGCGTCATATTTTATCTGTGCTTCTGTCTTCATCCTTATAGTTTCCGCACTCACGCACTCACTGCCAGGGCTAGCCGCTCAACCCACGTGAGCTGTCAAATGATGGCATAAAACACCTAGCTGGCATAGTTTGGAAAAGATTAATAATGGAAGTTGGTGTTTTAGTGAAACAGCGGCAAATTTGAAGCCACTTTATAAGTGGAGTCAAGATGGGATTTACACTTGACAGCAACATTCAGCAAGACTTTTGAGGTTTTGATCGAGACAGATTTCTAAAAGGTTTTGATAGAGAAAGATTTCTAACAACTTAAAAGAGTGCATCGTTCTGTACAGACAAATTACTGTGGGATAATAATGTGCCGGGGGTAATGTGGGAATTTATATCTCACGCTGGTTGGTTGACACCTCTCCGTATTTCCAGACAACAGTGTTATATTGTATTATAGTATAGCATGGGAATCATAGCTTGTGGCAATGGCGAGTATGATTAGCAAGACCTACTCGAGTTTTAATTCCCAATTCCATCTTTTAAAGTTGGTTGCGTATTCTTTATAGGACGTTGCTGTTGTTGTTGCTGTTGTGGTGTTTCTAGGCAAATTTTACGTTCAGTATTTTGCCATTGCTAACGGTCAGCTCTCGGTACCACTGTCGAAACAAACCCAAGACAACTTTCCGCAGCTGGGATCGAACCCGGCACCCCGGCATTACGAAGCGCGTTCACAACGCCTAAACCACAGACGCCGACTGTTCATAATGTTCCATCTTAGAAGAAAAAAAAATAGTCAACCACGTTCAACCTACTGGTGGCAGCGAAGTTGTTGCTCACGTACAGAAGTCTTCCACAACTAAAGCCTGGAACTGTATCGTCATTGTTGCTATCGCGTGTATGTAATGGGCTTCTTCTTAACCATTCAGCTCTTAGCAAATACAGTCGAGTCCAGTTAAGTCGAACTTGGATAAGTCTAATTTCGGTTAAGGTAAACGACTAATTTTTAAATTCCGTTAAAAAAAGGTGTCAAATTTGACAGGCCTATAAGACTAGCGTGTGGAAGTAATAACAAATATAGATATGGCCCGTTTGTTGTGGTTTTGTATTTCGAAATGCAAATATCTGGACAAAGCATTTGTGTTTTTATATTTAATGTTGAGTTTCTCCAGGACGGGTAAGAAACTGTTGTTCTCGTGGTCGTTAATGCAAAATTTGGTGTATAGTTATTTTCAACATGCCAGTTTGTGTGGCAAAAGCTAAATCTCCTATTGCTTCCGTCCTGTATCTCCCAGTGGAGCATAGGAATCACCAACTCACCCAAAGCTGTGCCATCTTTTGATCTTTTCTGCAGCTTCTCCCTTGTCCTCCATTTGCCAGTCATCAGTAATTCCACTTCTTATCCCTGTGTACTGTCTGTGTGTACCATCTGTGCGTACCGTCTGTGTGTACTGTCTATGTACTGTCTATATGTACTGTCTGTGTGTATCGTCTGTGTGTGGTCTTGTACAGAATAGAAGAAGAATTAGGTTTTACTAGATTCGGTAGACTGCACATGGCACATAGGCAATAACCAAGTGAATTACCATGCCACAATATTGGGAACATGTTTACAATTGAACAAGGTAGACAGATTGGCTGTCACTGTTTGTTTTACGCCTTTGGTGCTTTTAAGGAGACGACCAGGGTACATGTGGATCATGACTGTCTTCAGTATGGGCCTTGACCTGATGATATCAGCTTGAAGTAACGTCACCACCCCGGGATTACGATACAAACATAAACAACTTTCAGTAAGGCAATCAATATCTTAGAAATAGGGTGACCATACGTCCCATTTTCACTTTGACAGTCCCGTTTTTCGTTGTCCCGGCCGTCCCATGAATACTCACCAATACTAGGAATAAGCCCGGGAACAGAACATGTATATAGGTATATACACACATACAAACTAAAAGGGAAAATATATAGATTTACATTAGTACAGTGTTTCCCAAACTTTTCTTATTCGCGGCGCCTTTTTTCAATTTAAATTTTGCCACGGCGCCCTAATCTAAGCTTCAACTGACGTCCCCGTGAAGAGGTCACGGCTCCTCGGGGCGCCGGGTCGCACAGTTTTGGAATCTCTGCATTGGTAGATATATCTACACTACATAAGTGGACCCAGTAAAATAAATGTAAACAATCCAACCATAACAAAACATTTTAATATTAATTAATTAATTGGTATGGCTTATAAAGTTTATAGGCTTATATAATCCAATACATTAAAGGGAGTCATGCTATGGATCCACCCTGAGTGATGTGGTGATTAACCTCATTAATCCTTCAGGTCCAACATGCTGAGAGAAGAAATACAAAGTAGAATACAATCCGGAAATTAAGTAAACTCTGCCCTTCAACATCTGCTGAAGTCAAAGTGTCTGTCTCGGAACACCAAGATGGAAAAAAATATAAAACATTGATAAGACCAGTCGTTTTATATGGCTGTGAAACTTGGAGCACAACTAAAAGAGATGAAACATTATTACAGGTTTTCGAAAACAGAGTCTTTGGACGCATTAAAGATGCAAACAGCGGTGAATGGAGAGTGAGAAGCAACAACGAAATTCATAATCTGTTTAAATCACCACTGATCACTGGCATCATGAGAGCTAAGAGACATAAATGGCTGGGGTATATGTAAGTTTACAGAGAAGTAAAAACTGTGTACACGAGAGATATGAATGGTCGTAGACCACGAGGCAGACCAAGTTGACGATGGAGAGATAACGTCCAGACAGACCTGCAAACACTTGGTGTCACCAACTGGAAAGAGAAGGTCAACCAGAGAGATGAATGGGGGTGTGTTATATCTGCAGCAATAAACCTCAAGGGCTCGGAATGCTGAAGAAGAAGAACCCTTTAGGTCGATTCTTGTGTTTTTGAACGTCATTATGTTTATATAAGACTAGGTTTGTGTGTATACATCCACAGCACAATGCGTGTGTCCGTACGGATGGAAGGACTACACGGGAGGGGTGTCGTGTTACCTGATCACAGACTATCAAGTCAGATACAGCTTTGACAGAGCCGTTGACCAGTGCACGGCTCACCAGGGCCAGCTTATCTCTATAGATGACCAAAATGAAATGGTAGTGTAGAATAATTGTTTTGTCGTTCTTCTGTTCAACTTTTTGTTTCTTTTTTAAATCTTCATTGATATAGCCGAGGTTAACCTGTGGGTCGCGATCCTTTCAACTGGGTCGCCTAAGACCACCGGAAAACACATATTCCCTAAAGTTGTGAAGAAGCAACGAAAATTATTTTAGGGTTGGGGGGTCACCACAACTTGAGGAACTGTGTTTAAGGGTCGCTGCCTTAGGAAGGTTGGGAACCACTGGTTTACCGCCTGATTGTCTTGAGCGTAGCGTGGGTCTTGGGCAAAAGTATGCGTGCAGCAGTAATAGTTGCGGTTGTGGTGATGGTGGTGGTGGTGATGGTAGTGGTAGAAGAAGAATAAGAAGCAGAAGAAGAAGAAGAAGAAGAAGAAGAAGAAGAAGAAGAAGAAGAAGAAGAAGAAGAAGAAGAAGAAGAAGAAGAAGAAGAAGAAGAAGAAGAAGAAGAAGAAGAAGAAGAAGAAGAAGAAGAAGAAGAAGAAGAAGAAGAAGTAACAGTGGTAGTAATATTAGCAGTAGTAGCAGCAGCAGCAGCAGTAGTAGCGGTGATGGTAGTACAAGAAGAAGAACTACTATTAGTAGTAGTCGCAGCAGCAGTAGTAGTAGTAGTAGTAGTAGCAGTAGTAGTAGCAGTTGCAGCAATAGCAGCAGCAACAACAGTAGCAGTAGCAACAGCAACAGCAGCAGCAGAAGCAGAAGCAGCAGCAGAAGCAGCAGCAGTAGTAGTAGTAGCAGTAATAGAATTAGTAGTAGTAGTAGTAGTAGTAGTAGTAGTAGTAGTAGTAGTAGTAGTAGTAGTAGTAGTAGTAGTAGTAGTAGTAGTAGTAGTAGTAGTAGTAGTAGTAGTAGTAGTAGTAGGCTATTTAATTGTGCATAGTTTATGTAACAATTGTACCAGATTGTATCAGTATAGATTGTTGATTTTAATTTATTGTATGCTATGCATGTGTGCTATTTCCAGCTCAAGGTAAAATAAAATGACCTGACTAGGGAGAAAATCTGGCTTTGTAGAATAACTTTCCGCACCAACAAAAGTATCAGAAACTTCCGGCGTCAGTAGATACAAAATTTCCGTTCATCAAGCATTCTTTAAGACAATAATGAATCAAGCTGTATTCTATAGACAAAAGAGGGTGGATGTAAATAATTGATACTGGCATTTTTTTTAAGATTTAAACCTTGCAAATATTGTTTTATTCGTTTACGTTCACCGCTAAAAAAATCTCGGTTTACTGTGTGGGTTCTGGGGTCCCATTTGGAGGATGAAAAATAATTAACCCACTCACACGCTCACTGCCCCCATATGACCCGCAAGCCGCATAGGACTACATTTTACAGCTGACAAGCATAGCCTTTGTGTGTGCTGCAGTAATGACAACTTTGATGGTTGAACAGGAGGGTATCTGGGGTCTGCCTTCCAAATTGGGGTGTGTTAATCTTGTCATTCAGAGTTATATTTTATTATCTCAGGATGGTCTGGTAAACCTTCGTTAGGTAGCAGCTTAAAGGGTACATACCAGTTGATCTATCTACTGACTATGATCTCTTCAGATTACTTCCCCAAACCAGTTGATCAATCGACTGACTATGATCTCTTCAGATTACTTCCCCAAACCAGTTGGTCAATCGACTGACTATGATCTCTTCAGATTACTTCCCCAAACCATTTGATCAATCAACTGACTATGATCTCTTCAGATTACTTCCCCAAACCATTTGTTCACTCGACTGACTATGATCTCTTCAGATTACTTCCCCAAACCAGTTGATCAATCAACTGACTATGATCTCTTCAGATTACTTCCCCAAACCAGTTGATCAATCAACTGACTATGATCTCTTCAGATTACTTCCCCTACCATTTGATCACTCGACTGACTATGATCTCTTCAGATTACTTCCCCAAACCAGTTGATCAATCTACTGACTATGATCTCTTCAGATTACTTCCCCAAACCAGTCAATCAATTGACAGACTGTGATCTCTTCAGATTACTTCCTCAAACCAGTTGATCAATTGACTGACTGTGATCTCTTCAGATTACTTTCCCAAACCAGTCGATCAATCGACTGACTATAATCTCTTCAGATTACTTCCCTAAACCAGTCAAACAATCAACTGACTGTGATCTCTTCAGATTACTGCCCCAAACCAGTGAATCAGACCAGTGGGTCAATCAACTGACTGTGATCTTTTCAGATTACTTCCCCAAACCAGTTGATCAGTCAAGTGACTGTGATCATTTCACATTACTTCCCCAAACCAGTCAATCGATTGACTGACTGTGATTTCTTCAGATTACTTGCCCAAACTGGACTGCAGAATACTTTGTAACTGTAAGGACGCCCAACTGTAACTGTGTGCTACAGTCGAATGGGGTTTCAGGGATATGCTCATTTGGTTCTCATTCATGACAAGTTAATTCCGCAGACAGAAATCCTAGAAACTAACAATGACTGACCAATCCACAGCGATTAGTTAAACTCGGGCAGTGTTTCAGTTTTCAATATATTTGTTTGTAGACTTGGCTGAGTAAAGAAATTCAGCAAATTAGCACAGCCGGCCTGCCACCCAAGATGGCTTGGTGGATAGGAATAGAGGACAAAGGTCAGGGTCAAGGAGTGAAATACCTGAACGGCTCAGAGGTCAGCGTGGATCTCTTGTGAGTATTGGGTCATCAACTCTTCCCTGTGAGATTGTTGTATCTTCTTCTTAATGTTCACCAGTTGTAAACCTAGATGGAAAGTTCTGGTTGTTTGTCTTCTTCTGGACTTTGGTTTTATTCCAGATTTGATTATCCCAGTCTTGATGTTGATTATCCCAGTCTTGGATGTTGATTATCCCAGTCTTTCCCAGTCGTGATGTTGAGTTTGTTGGATTGAGTTTTGGATGCACGTGTGTTTTACAAACCCTGCTTATTTGTATATAGACTGTTGGTTCTTCGCAATTCAGGCAGATGCACTCTGACTTTGAAAAAAACACCTATAATTTGACACCTTTTTTCAAAAAGCTTAGAGGTGGGGTGTTGGGGGGGGGGGGAGTGGGTGAGTCTGTGTTTTTCCTACCCCATGATTCTGAGACCACATTGGGGGTTGGGGGAGGGAGAGAAGAGAACACAGACTCACTGCATGCCCCCCCCCCCCCCCCCACCCCATGGGGTCTCAGAACTCACACAGGGGAACATTCTTCTGGCTGCCTGTACTTCTTGAACAGGTTACTTGATTAATCAAGCAAAAAATACATCTCAGGAAACATTGTATGAGGTGAAAGGCAGCTGGTGGAATATTGAAAACATCACTTTTCACATGCCAGTTGGTGTATAAAAATATGGGGTTGCCACTCTATACCAATTCAGCTTCACAGATTTAAAAAAAAATATTTTTTGGGGATTGCTTTTACATTTTTATTGCGGAGAAACAAGGAGCCTTAATCCTAGTCTTGATGTTGATTTCCCAGTCTTGATGTTGATATCCCAGTCTTGATGTTGATTTCCCAGTCTTGATGTTGATATTCCAGTCTTGATGTTGAAATCCCAGTCTTGATGTTGATATCCCAGTCTTGATGTTGATATCCCAGTCTTGATGTTGATTATCCCAGTCTTGATGTTGATATCCCAGTCTTGATGTTGATATCCCACTCTTGATGTTGATATCCCAGTCTTGATGTTGATTATCCCAGTCTTGATGTTGATTATCCCAGTCTTGATGTTGATATCCCAGTCTTGATGTTTATATACATTTTTTGAAACTAAGTAACTCACAAGTTCATTCGTTAGTCTAAGTCAGTGGTTTTCAACCTTTTTCATGTTGACGCACCCCGCTTCCATGAATATATGGCAAGATCCCCACCCCCACCTCAATTATATGGCAAGATACCCATGCCCCACCCCCACCCCAGCTCTAAAACAAATGTGATTTTTTTTAAAAAGGACAAACAGAAAACCCCAGGCACTATTAATAAGAACTGTGTTATCCAGTAATAAAAGTTTTAATGGTAGACATACAAACTTCTATGAAAACAATAATATCATTGCCTTTTTGTTTTATAAAGTTTTAATATATTTTTTTTTCAGACTATTTGTTAAAAAAAAAAAAAAAAAAAAAATATATATATATATATATATATATATATATATATATATATATATATATATATATATATATATATATATTTTTTTTTTTTTTTTTTAAACAAATAGTCTGGAAAAAAAAATATTTTAGTAGTAAGAGATTATTGTGAACAGAAATGCAATTTCAAAATATGTTTGGTGCCACGCTTGAAACTTCCTTACCCCTCTCCTAGGATGCGCCCCCCCCCCCCCCCCCCCCCCCTTTTCCAGCAGGTTGAATGAAAACCACTGGTCTACGTTAAGTCTTTTGTCCGTGGGCTTTTTCTGTCATAGATTGTTATTATATTCACTTATTCGACCCAAATACTGGAGCTTTTACAGTAAAACTTCTCATTAAAGACAGAGTGCCAAAAAAACTGCCAAAAGCTGCCTTTATTACCACTTTTGCTGTTTAGGCGGAGGGAAGGGGGGGAATTAGCCTGAGGATTTAGGGCAGCATGGCTAGTGGTACCGCTAGGACTGTGCAGGTGAGGATTTTATTTTGCCTGGACATTTTTTAATAATATTAGGGTGAATACTATTCCTAGTCTCCCTTAATGGGTCTCCTTTATGGCCATTTGGCCGTTTGCTTTTTGTAGTTTTTTAATAACATTTGGATGTCAGTGTTTTTTATCTACAGACCCTGGTCAGGAGGAGTTTCTCAGCCTCCTGCCACAAGCAGACGCTGCGGATCATTTATGAATAGCACGATGTATTTGTCCGACTGCAGCAGTTGGTTCGGTTTTGTTTGTGAGCGATCAAAAGGTGAGTCATTACAGTAAATTATGGAAACTTCTCTTTGTGTGGGTTCTAAGACTCATATTTTTGTATATTTGTTTAGGGGAGGGGGGGATTACCTCCCCCCCCCCCCCACCCCCTTCCAACAAGCATGACAGCTGACTAATTATGGATTTCCTAAAATCAAATGTGTTGATGCAATGTCTCTGCTTACATTCAGTTTGGCTCCAGTCACTTACAGACTTCTCACTCGTGCACTGACAGTCAGCTCAACAGTTGAAAGGTGGACGACATTGAACGACAGGATGTGTTGTCAATCTTTATTGTTCATTCACTCACTGATTCTTTGGCCAGTTCGTGGTGAGGCATAAACAAAGTCTAGGTGTATAATACATCGAATAAAGTCGGACAAAAACACAGATGTCCATTTACACAACGGCAGCTGAAAATGACAACTTTCCTTGACAATCAAACACAAACAAGTTCAGCGCTAACTGTGTCTGCCAGTTCTAGCTGAAGGCCAGGTTGGGCATTAAAAACTCACAAACACATCACGCTTTTGTTTATAAATACTTTCTCCACTCCACACGCATATAGTTCCTTGACCCAGGTGAGACTGCCTGCTAGATCTTTCTAGGGCATTAAATAATCTTCTGTTGTCCACATTCTAAGCTGCCCAGTTCGTGGTTCTCATGTTTTCTATTTCGCGCAGATTTAGCAATCTTTTCATTTGGCCAACATTTTCCCCATGCATCCTGATTCGTACTCGGTAAATTCAAATATCTAAATCATATTCATTACCTGATGTCATTCCTATTGTAACACAATTTATCTGGGAGAAAATGATGCACTACCGAGTTGGGTTGAAATACGAGATATTGCAGCTTAGCTGTAAACTACAACACAGTGTGCCAGCAACAAAGAACACGAGCAGAAAAAACCCAGATTGATATTTTTATTTGTTCCATGTATTTGCTTTCCTGAAATTGGTTTTACTGTGGCTACATGTAGTGTGTATATCTGCCTGCTCATTTCCCAACACACCAGCATGACCTGGAGAGAATATCCAAAATACGCTTACTGCCCGGGGCTCCTGAAGCGATGCTTCCCACTCTGCATGGAGCATGCATGTTTCCACCTTTCTCAACATACTCTGTGAGTCAGTTACAATTACGACATGTGTGTACAGCTGATTCTCAAGGCAGCAGTGACTGTCTTCACCTCCATTCTCAAACTAGACGTTGTGGTATCATATGCCAGGCTTTGTTGCACTAAGCGACATCCATTAGCACAATTATCCTATTATCTTAGAAATGACCAAGAAACATATGTGAATAGTTTAGCACTGAAAGAGTTATTTAATAAGTCAGTATGTCTGTGAAGTAAAGATGTCCGGCAAGACAGTGACAACATTACTGTTAATTGGTCTATAAAAAAATGTGAGGCTAACATCACATTCCTTAGATTCCCTGAGTCATTTAAGTGAGTTTTTTAGTTTGTTTTTAAAACTTATGAAGTTCCTTTTTAAACGACAACCTGGGTATTGTTATTTCTGGCTGGCAGCTCTTCCACTCCTGTGTGATGTAGAAGATGCCTGGGTGTTCATTAACGGTTCCTGCTTCAAATATTTCCCCACTCAGATGACCTGGTACCTGGCCAAGTAAGCAGTGTAGTTTTTGTCATCAGCAGCTTTTATAATGGTGTCAGTTGAGCTAGCTGGTTGCCTTGTTTGGTTAGTTGCTTGTTTGATTGGTTGCTTGTTTGATTGCTTGCTTGTTTGATTGGTTGCCTGTTTGATTGGTTGCTTGTTTGATTGGTTGCTTGATTGATTGGTTGCTTGTTTTATTGGATGCCTGTTTGGCACGTTGCTTCTCTGATTGGTTGCCTGTTTAATTTGTTGCTTTTCTGATTGGTTGCCTGTCTGATTAATTGGTTGCTTGTTTGATTGGTTGCCTATTTGGTTGGTTGTTTATTTGATTGGTTGCTTTATTGATTGGTTGCTTGTTTTATTGGTTGCTTATTTGATTGGTTATCTGTTTGATTGGTTTAGTTGATGTGTTACTTGTCTGACTGCTTAGTTCTGTCTAACGTGTTATGACTGTGCTCTTATAGAACAGATTAAATTCACTTTGAGAAAATCTGATAATAGTGTAACAAGAAAGTTTTTTTTCTGGAACATTCAGAACACAAGAAATAAAGGGAGGCATAAAAAAAACACCTGGATAAGAGAATTAGAGAGAAATAAATAATTTAGAGAGAATATGAAAGAAGCTCTGGAAAATAACCTTGTCAAAAGATAGGATGGTTTGGGTGAGGGTCTATGCTCCATAGGGGTATTAAGGGCAGAAAAAGAAGTTTAAACCCTGCATATCTGTGCTATTGTCCCTTTTTCTTTTGGTTTATTCTTTTAACTATAGAACACTCAGAAGCTTGGCAGGTCTGTATTATTCACACTTGTTTGCACAGGTCAACATGCGAACAGTTTGAAGCTGATCTGCCGAAAGTGATTACTGCAGAGGAAGTGGCTTTTATATGGGACAAGACGAAGATGTCTTCCACATTGTCATGGATTGGACTAAAGTCGGATATCACGTCAAGGAGTGTGAGTTCAGTTGAATCTTTCTTTCGTAGTTTCTTTCTCTTTTCCTTCGTTTCTTAAATTTGAGTTTTCCTTTCTCTCTGTCTTGCTTGATATTCTTGTTTCATTTTTTTTTTCTTTTTGACCATTATCTTGTATGTTTCTGATATCTGCTGTCACAGATTATACCGTTATCTTATTGTATGTTTTTTATATCTGCTGTCACAGATTTTACCATTATCGTATTGTATGTTTTTGATATCTGCTGTCACAGATTTGACCATTACCTTGTATGTTTCTGATATCTGTTATCACAGATTTTACCATTATCTTACCATATGCTTTTGATATCAATTGTCACAGATGTGTCCATTATCTAGTTTGCTTCTAGTTTGTTTCTGATAACTGCTTTCACAGATTTGACTATTATCTAGTTTGCTTCTGATGTCTGCTGTCATAGATTTGATCATTATCTTGTATGTTTCTGATAACTACTGTCCCAGAATGTGACCATTATCTTGTATGTTTTTGATATCTACTGTCATATATTTAACCATTAACTTATTGTATGTTTTCAACAGTACACATGGACAGATGGATCACTTCTGGATCCCTCCCTGACCTGGTGGAATACGAACCAGCCCCAAGACTTAACGTATGTAAACACAGCCTGACCTATAATAACGCATATTGTAACAGAATAACTACCTCCCTTCCCTGTGATGATTTTTTCTCTGATGCAAGTGTTAAAGTACTCTGGAACATTATGAGACTGTTATTGTTTGATGATGATGATGGACATGCAGTTCTGATATTATTTCAAGAACATAAGTTCAGGATATTGGAAAGACAGGACGAGCTAGCACGATTTAAAAGATGCTGACATGTACACACCACACACAGATCACCCACCCCTTCACCAAATGTCACTTCACTCCCTGACATCATTTTTCTACTCGGAAATAGAAGGCAGAAGAAGATAGTATGCATTCGTCTGCACCACGATGTCATATGCTTAACATTCTTTGCATCCTTAACAACAATACTGTCAGGATAGATGACAATGGCATGGCTATGTGATTTCTATCACAGTTGTAAGGTTTTCATTTGAAGCATCCTCATATGTGTCCCCCAAATCTCTTGGGTAGTGGGGCTAGATACCTAGTCTTCTCAAATACGCAACAAAGTCTGGCATAGGATATCACAACATGTGGTTTGATAATGGAAGTGGAGACAGTCTCTGATGCCTTCCACTGGCTTGAGAATCAGCTGTACATACATGCTATGATTGTAACTGACTCACAGAGCATGTTGAGAAACGTGGAGACAGGCTTGCTCTGTGCAGAGTGGCAAGCATCACTTCAAAGGTCCCGCCTAGTTAGCATTCTTCAGATATTTTCTCCAAGTCATCCCCATGTTTTGGGGAAATTAGCAGGCAGATAGACTGGTTGGTTCTGCAGCACTTGGTGGTGAACTAATGTATGACAAGCTGGATGTTGTCGGGGTCCTTTGGAAGCTAGTGAACAGTGCCGAGGAACAGATAGATCATTACAGTCTGAGGAGAATGGCACTGCGAGCAGTTACAAGGGGATCTGGCCAACACTTGACACTCAGGGTAAAGGCGAGACGGATATACAATCTGACAGTTACTGGTACTATCAGAATTTTAACACTTTGCTTGCTGCTGAAGTTGGGGACAGAGCGCTTATGGGGGTGTTCCGAGTGATTGATGTTGATTCTTAATTCAACATTCAAGATTCAACATTTCTCTTAAAACACATATTTTAAGATTTTCTGTGCAAGTTGTGCATGTTAAAAATCCGTTAGAAGTTGGAAATGGCAAGGACAGAGGGATTCAGTCCACTAATTTGGGTGGGATCAGTCTAGAGAAAGTCAACCTGGCATGAAATCTACGCTTAGGTAGATATGCTAACAGTTGAGGTCCATATCTAGGTAGGATGCTTCATCATCATCATGGCTAGGCGCTCATATCTTTCCACAGATATCGGCCCTTGGTATTTTGAGTCAGTTCCACTGACGATAATACTCCATGCCATCGCTTCAGACCATCAGACATTGTCTCCCTTGGTCTGCCTCTTCTACCATTGATCTTTCCAGTCATCTCGATGTTCTCTAATACCTGGCTTGATATCACATGACAGAAGAACACTGCCTGCCTCTTTCTCATAGTTGTATATAGTTTTAAAATTGCATTTGCTATTTTTCCATATGTGGGTTCCGGGTCCTTATTGTGGGGAAAACAAGAATAGAACCACTGTTTGCCCAAAAGCATGTCGTAAGAGTCGACTAATTGGGAGCTTTCTTCGAAGTCGGAGTACATCAGCGTGAGAGGCAAGGAACCAACAGTCTGCATGCAAATAACTCAGACCTGTGAAATGAATGTACATGCAACACTCAGTTTCTGGGACAGGACTAAAGTCCAGAAGTGTACGAATAACCATAATTTTTCCCTTGGAGCTTACTGCCGGGGAACGCGAAGAAGAAGAAGAAGATTTGCCATTTTCAGATTGCTGTTAGTCTTCTTCTTCTTTTTAGCACTGACTGGTTCTAAACTCTGTGGAAAGTGAGATCCCTGGGGATTGTTACCGGAGATATGGAGATCGTGCTGTGTACGATGCTCTCAGCAGGCAGCTAGTTCTTCTGCGGAGAGAGACTGAGCCATATGGGATAAAACCTGATGCAATAAAGTCGATCCTCTCACCTTTACCATTACCTTTGTTAGGGATCTATATTATTTTTCTGCCTCCAACACGGGGCCTGGAACCCACTCTGGCTGTTTGTTGTTAGTCAGATGGGGACATTAATTCTCAGAAGAAGAACACAGAATTAGGAGAAAAATATGTGACCTATGAACTTGAGACTTACCAACATTTCTCCATGTTTTACACTGACAGGTACATAATGTACAGTGACCCTGACATCTGTGGCTTGATCAGCGGCAATGGGACTCGGAGGTTATCCTCCTGGATGACTGACGACTGTAACGAGAGGCACTCATTTACATGTAGCAAGCCCCAAGGTAAGAACATCATTTTATTCTTACTTCTTCCCTTTCTTGCTGCCACTGCTCTGCTGTTTGTGTTTGTTCTCCTTATTGAATTGTATTTGTTTTTAATCTTCCACTCTATTGATGCTTTTCTTACTCCTTCTTATCATCCTTCTTCTTATTAGCATTCCACTCTGTTGGAAAGTTCAAGTTGTTGTCTTCTGGACTTTGCCTAATACATTTTATACTGTCTAAAATACAATATACTTTATCTGCAATCTTCCGTTAACTTTTGTGTATCATTCTCTGAAACAGTAATCAACTTTCATGTTATTTATTCATCACAATATTTCATCACAATTTATTGATATCAACTGCCAGATTAAGAAATCTAAAATCATGCATTAACATTTAGTGTCGTAAATTATGTTATATGCAGTTCATCTCTGTAAGGTTTATGTTTTGACATGTGTGTGTGTGTGTTGTCCATCAAGATGATGATGACCACTCTTATACATCAAGTATGAGTAGGAAGATGACTGATGAGGCCGATGCGGGCCCGAAAAGTTCTTGGACAGTGAGGACAGGGAATGAGCGTTGTGCCAGGGAGGGGATCTCCTGCAGTCGCCTTTCTGTCTATCCTTTTCTTAATAAGTCTTGCTGTTCTGTTTGCTTCACATGTAGCCGTGCCCTTGGGTAGAGCTGCACGCCATGCATTTCAGTCTTGAGAGGCAGCCTCCCAATTGGTGTCATTCATCCCAAATGCTTAGAGTGAGGACTTCAAGGTGTCCTTAAAACGTTTCTCTTGCCAGCCTTGGGAATGTTTCCCATTTTACAGCTCACCATAAAAGGTTTTTTTGGGGGGAGCCTGTGATCTGGAGTGCATGCTACATGACCAGCCCAACGAATTTGATACTGCATCAGTAGAGTGTGGATGCTGGGCATGGCTGCTTTCTCAAGGACTACGGTATCAGGTACTTTGTCATGCCATCTGATATGTATTAGTTTTCTAAGGCAGACTGTGTGAAAGTGGTTTAACTTTCTAGCCTGGCGCTGGTATACAGTCCATGTTTCGCATGCGAACAGCAGTGTAGTTTATAAAACTGCTCTGTATACTTTAAGCTTTGACTGCAGGGTTATGCCACTTCTGTTCCAAACATTTTTGTACAATCTGCCAAAGGCAGCGCTAGCCCTAGAGATCTTTGCATTTACTTCGTCATTAATTGTGGCACATATGTTTTGACATATGTTACGTTATGTTGACATATGTTGTCTCTGTATGTAAGGTTATTGTGCAGACGGATGGATTTTTCACCAAGGAATGTGCATCAAGTTCTTTCCCAAATATTTCCTGTCTTGGGTCTCTGCTAGGGATTACTGCCAGTCTATGGGAGCTGATTTAATTATCATACCAACGTGAGTATTACATAATATCATACCTACTTGAATATTAGTATTATCATACCTACTTGAATATTAGTATTATCATACCTACTTGAATATTAGTATTATCATACCTACTTGATTATTACATATTATCATACCTACTTGAATATTAGTATTATCATACCTACTTGAGTATTACCTATTATCATACCTACTTGAGTATTATGTATTATCATGTCAACATGAGTTTTACATATTTTCAAACCACTGCAACTATTACGTATTATTATACCAGTGTGAGTTTTACATATTATCATGCCTACTTGAGAATTACTTATTATCATACCTACTTGAGTATTACATATTATCATACCTACTTGAGTATTACATATTATAATACCTACTTGAGTATTACATATTATCATACCAGTTCGAGTATTACATATTATCTTACGTACTTGAGTATTACATATTATCATACCTACTTGAGTATTACGTATTATCATACCTACTTGAGTATTACATATTATCATGCCAGTGTGAGTATTACGTATTATCATACCTACTTGGGTATATTACATATTATCATACCTACTTGAGTATTACTTATTATCATACGTACTTGAGTATTACATATTATCATACCTACTTTAGTATTTCATATTATCCTACCTACTTGGGTATTACATATTATCATACCTACTTGAGTATTACATATTATCACACCTACTTGAGTATTACATATTATCATACCTACTTGAGTATTACGTATTATCATACCTACTTGAGTATTACGTATTATCATACCTACTTGAGTATTACGTATTATCATACCTACTTGAATAGTACGTATTATCATTCCTACTTTAGTATTTCATATTATCATACCTACTTGGGTATTACATATTATCACCTACTTGAGTATTACATATTATCATACCTACTTGAGTATTACATATTATCATACCTACTTGAGTATTACATATTATCATACCAGTGTGAGCATTACCTATTACCATACCAACATGACTATTATGTATTATCATGCCTATGTGAGCATTACATATTATACCATTGTGAGTATTACATACTATCCTATTGAAGTTTCATGCCAGCATGTCAATTTTATGTCAGCTTGTCATTTTCATGCAGCATCCATGACTTAGGCGTTGCGAGTCCGTCTCGTAATTCCAACATACCGCGATCGAAACCCACTGGATTTTTATCAAGGTATGGGAAGGTCTTAAATGGGTACCAGGATGTATGTCATGGGGAAGTTAAAAACGGCCGCAAAATGCTGACCACATTACCTACGTAGTGCTGATTGGTCTGTAAAAGTATGGGTGCTCTTCCCATATGCCCAATGCGCCTAAGGGCGTGAAAAGGGATCTTTACTTTACTTTATTACTTTTGTCAATTTCATGCCAGCATGTCAGTTTCATGTCAGTATGTCAGTTTTTCATGTCAGCGTGTCAGTTTTTCATGTCAGTGTGTCAGTTTGAAATGATGCCTTATGTTCTCTTCAGGCAGTCGTTCCAGGACTTGGTCAACGTGTACCTGAAGGAACTCAGCGATGCCGGGGTGGAAAGCTTCTGGCTGGGCATTGAAGGTATTTACCTTCTATTCATGTCTTTTAGTAAATTTACCTACTCACATAAAGAAATTAGACTGTTATATTAGGACTAGTAGAAGTTGTAGTACATTTTACCCCACTAGGACATCACACAAGCGATAAACACCCGATGACACAAAGTGCCACCATGTGGATGAGGATCACCCGTGGAGAGGTCCTCGAAACCGCGTTCAGCCATTAGACCATATTTAGGACCGGGCTATATTGCGGCCCCTGGCAAGAGCCAGGGTAGGGCTTCAAATCATGAAAAATTGCATCCTACAAGGGGATGGCTGGTTATTAAATTAAGACTGCATACTGGGAAAAACAGACTCTGCAGGTGTATGTACAAGACTGGGGGTTCCGAATTTTGCCCACATGGACAAAATACTGAACATGTGCCATAGACATGCTTTCTGCATGCAGTAGAGAGATTTCAGGTTTCCCTGGTTGGTATTCTAATGGAAATCAAGCTTTGTGGATCTGTGGAAGACTGGCGTCGCACCACGGACAGTGTAGATTTTGTCAGGACAGTGTAGATAGTGTCAGGACAGTGTAGATTGTGTCAGGACAGTGTAGATTGTGTCAGGACAGTGTAGATAGTGTCAGGACAATGTAGATTTTGTCAGGACAGTGTAAATGGTGTCAGGATTTTGTAGATAAGATTGACGTTTTCTTCAGTTTAGGAATGCATCTGCACGAGAGGCAAGGAACCAACAGTCTGCAAACAATAAGCCAGATCTAAAAAAACAGATATGCCTGCAGTATTCAAGTACTGAAAGAAGACTAAAGTCCAGAAGTGGATGAAATCTCAGACTTTTTACATGAGTGTTTAAAATGGCAGACTTAAATTGTTTCATGTTTTTTGGAGAGATTAAAAAGTCAGATCAAGAAATTAAGTCCTGAAACAGATCAGATAACTCTGGGATTCAGAAAACTCTATGGTTCAGATAACTCTGGGGTTCAGATAACTCTGGGGTTCAGATAACTCTGGGGTTCAGATAACTCTGGGGTTCAGATAACTCTGGGGTTCAGATAACTCTGGGGTTCAGATAACTCTGGGGTTCAGATAACTCTGGGGTTCAGATAACTCTGGGGTTCAGATAACTCTGGGGCTGTTAGAAGCTACTTGACATTAAATTAATTGAAAGTTTTCGAAACAAATTTCCTTTTTTTTTCTTGTCCATCCATGAAATGATCTGTTTTATTGTCTGCTCTCTATTTTTGTTTAAAGGATCATCTGTTTGTCTAATATTGAATCATTTGTAATTGTGACATCATGAACAGACTCAGCCAACCAGACATTCTCTTGGGTGGACCACAGGTACAACATGAGCTGGACAAACTGGGCTGGTGGCCCTCCAATGAACAAGCCTGGATCACGTGAGGTGGCCTTCATTAGCACAGGTAGGGCCCATTTACATTTATGTCAGGTGATGCACAATGGCTGGCCCAGTCTTTAAGAGCACTAGGCTGTCATGCTGAGACCCGGATTCAAATCCTCAATAAGGTTATGGGTTTTGCCCATAGCAATAGCCATGCGCTCTAAATCTTCTGGCTGAAAGATCCCCTTCTGCCGACACTGCAGGAAGGAGTAAATGCAGGCATTTTGGCAGATGCATAACTGGGTTTCTGTGTACATAAATATTTTTTTTTTAAACAAAACTAGTAAAGGACCCCATACAAATTATTGGCTCATCGTAAACCACTTCTGCCATTAAGTGTTGTGGGGAGGAATCATTTGCACTCCAGTGTGTAGGGGTAGAAGTTTCTTTAATGTTGTTAATCCATATTTTAATCCATATTTTTGCTGCAGTCCTCTTTTTCTTGTAGCTGATCTTCTGAGATGTAGTGCCTGTGATGGTATTTGATCTTTCTGCATTTTAACGAGATGACCAAACCACTTGATATGCGGTTTCTTGATGAATCTAGTACAAGGTGTCGTTCCCAAAATGTGTCTGACGGTGTCATTATTCATTCGATCTTGTATGATAAAGATCAGCTCTTTTCTTAGGCATCTCATCTCGCAGGCGGGGATTTAGCATTCATGAGGTTTAGATAATGTCTATGTTTGACACTGGTAGCTCAGTGTGGCAATGAATATGCTGTTAAATTTTGTATTATTGGCTTGACGGCAAATGATGATAGACTCTTGTTTGTCTTGACCAGTTGGCCCTCAGTGGGTGGTGTGGTCAGCATCACACCAGCTGCCTTTACTTCCTGGAACTTTACCTGGCACTCATTTTAGGCTGGGTCATCCTGGGAGCCAAGGTCATTTTTGATTATTGAACAGTAACTAAGAAGCTCAACGAAGGTAGCAGTGGAGAAAACATATACACAGGAGCAATCAGACATGTTGGCAGCAGTCTCTGTTGTGGTTTTTGTTGATAAAGGCTGCTGCCTAAACGTCTCAGTGTTCCTGGCATGTGTTTTTTTTTTCCATTTCCTACCTTCATTAGACCTTCTAGTCACAGTTTAGTTTAATAATTTTTTATGTTCAAACACCCGATAGTTGGGCCAACAGTTAGGCAGCTAGCCACTACACCACAGCAGCTCACTTGTTTATATTTGATTTCAAGTAAATTTAATAAAGTGATAAATAATGGTTTTATAATTGTATGTGAGGAATGCTTGAAAGAAATGGAGAGAGAGATAGAGAGAGAGAGAGTGAGAGAGAAAGAGAGATGAAAGAGAATGACAATTCAAAAAAAAAAAAGAGAAGAAAAATTTTAATTAGAAAGAGAAAACAGTTTTAATAACTGCCGCATCCATACGCTGAGTATCTTAAAAAAGATAAAAACTTAAATTTATTTTCTGCTAGGAGATAAAAATGGCAAGTGGCAGTTGACCTCTGACCTCAGCGCTAGGAAAGCCTTTGCTTGCTACATCTCCAGCACAAAAACTGTTAAGGATGTCTCACTACCACTGGGTAAGCTTGCCTGTTTGTCTTTCTCATGTGTCACTGCTGCTTGTTGTTCATCTTTGCAGGCAATAGTGTTCCACTGGGCTATATGAAGGCATGTGAAACACAGCCCCGGTAGTACTTAACACCAGGCATTAGTAATTAACACCAGACATTAGTAATTAACACCAGTCATTAGTGATTAACACCAGGCATCAGTAGTTAACACCAGTCATTAGTGATTAACACCAGGCATCAGTAGTTAACACCAGGCATTAGTAGTTAACACCAGACATTAATGATTAACACCAGGCATTAGTAGTTAACACAATGCATTAGTAGTTAACACCAGGCATTAGTGATTAACACCAGGCATTAGTGATTAACACCAGGCATTAGTGATTAACACCAGGCATTATTAATTAACACCAGACATTAGTGGGAAATAAAGTAGGCAGTTATGAACAGATTAAGCAGCGAATGAGACAAGGATGTGTTTTGTCACCGGAACTCTTCTCTATAGAGAAATAATAATGAGGGAGGTCAAAGATAGACCAGGAAGACTAGTTGGAGGTTATAACATAAACAATCTTCATTATGCAGATGATACAGTAATTATATCTGAAAAGGCAGAAGACCTGCAACAACTATTAGACATTGTGGGACTAGAGAGTGCAAAAAAAAGGGAACTCTTCTTGAATATCCAGAAAATGGAAACAATGGTTATATCAAAGAAAAAAATAACTCCAAAATGTGACATAGAAATAGAACGGAAAGTGCTTAACCAAGTCAATAAATTCAAGTATTTGGGAACATTCATAACATCATATTGACGATGTGTGGCAGAAATTAAGAGGAGAATTTGCCTAGCAAAGGCATCTTTTCAGAAGATGAAAAGTATTTTATCTAATAAATCACGCTCATTAAACATCAGAAAGTGAGTAGTGAAATGTTATATCAAGCCTGTTCTGTTGTCTCGCAGTGAATCTTGGAACAAACAAATTAAGAAGAGTTTGGAAGCAACTGGGATGTGGTTCTTGAAAGGAATGTTGAGAATACCTTGGACTGATAGAATAACCAACACTGAATGCCTGAAAATGGCTAATGAAAGTAGAACATTATATACAACAATGAGAAGGAGACACACAAAATTCTTTGGTCAAGTGATGAGAAAAGGAGCACTGGGAAATATCAAGATGACTAGAAAGATCACTTTCAAAATAATTTGCTTATTGTCATAATAATTTACTAACTTTCAAAATAATTTGTTAACAGGCTTTAAAATGTATTTTTTTTTTCTCCATATTAGTGAATTCATTATCTTTTAAATTTATTCATTGCCATCAAATGTCATAAAATTATCATAATTTATTAATTGTCATAAGTAATTCATGGTCGCCATCAGAACTGGCACTCTGCGCTGACTGCTGAGGATGGGGACAGCCTATGAGAAGGCTGCAGTGCTATGATGTTGGTTCTTAACACAACTTGACTAATAAAATATGCATTGTCATAATTTATTGATCATCACAATTAATATACAGCTTAATATTAATGTGTTCACTCTCATAATAATTTATTCAATCATCATAATTGGTTCACTTTCATTTATTGCCATGATATCGACCGCCACCCATCATTTTTCCTTCTCTCGTCAGATATCGAGTGTCCTGACCAATGGGAAGTGGCCGGAGACACGTGTGTGATGATCTCTTACAATGCTGCCTCTTGGTCACTGGCAAATAATTACTGCCAGCAACTGCAGTCACAACTCATGGTGATTAATTCAGCTGCAGCACAAAGTTTCCTGAATCGTAAGACCATTCTTAAAATGTGTGTTAAAGTATAAGCTAATCTTCTATGCATTCACCATCTGTAAACTCCAGCAGAAAGTTGTGGTTATTTGTCCACTTCTGGACTTCGGTCCTGTTCCAGAACTTGAGTTGTCCATGCACAGTCTGTTTACAGATCTGGCTTATTTGCATGCAGACTGTTAGTTCCTGGCCTCTCAGGCAGATGCATTCAGGCTTTGAAAGAAAATACCCCCAATTAGTTGCTAGAATTTAAATACTTGGGAAGTATCTTTACATTCAATGGTAAAATAGACAGAGAGATCGAAGCAAGAGTCCAACAAGCCAACAATGTCGCATACCAGCTTGCCCCAATTTTAAAACACCCTGCTGTCCCAGCTGAGATAAAAAGACAAATTATAAATACAATCTTTATACCGACATTAGGTTATCAATTTCAGACTTGGACATTAACAAAAGAACACGAGAGAAGACTAACCACCTGTGAAATAAGATGTTTGAGATTGGCTGCGAATAAAACCAGAAGAGATCGAGTGAGAAACGATGTGATTACAACTATTAGAACCATACCCATCGTTAAATTTATTGAGAAGCAAAGAATGAAATTGTTTGGTCACCTAATGAGAATGGAACCAAAGATGCCAGCATCAAGAGCATACAACATGAAAATCGAAACACCAAGAGGCAGGTGAAGACCAAGAAGAAGATGGATTGAAGGAGTCACGGACAACTTGAGACTTCATAACATCACGGCATATGAAGCGACTGAGCGCGCCCTGGCTCGGTTGCCGATCATCTGATAGACGGCGACGCTTAGCGGCACAAGCAGATTTTGACAAAAGAATAAAGAAGAAGAAGTTGCTTTTTGCAACATACTTGTTAGGCAGCAGTTGATACAATTATTTATAATAATAACACTATAATACTACATCAGGTATGGGTGATCTTTTTGTTTTTAATATCTCCTAGAATTGGCACAGTTACTGAGTGGGCATTGAAAAAATTGTATGCATTAAAGTACCGGCATCGATTGAGTGGAAAACAAACAGTTTGAGGATTTTGAATTTGCAGATGATATTTTTGTTGCTAAGTAAGAACTGCGATGACGAGCAAAGAAAAACAGATGAGTTTGCAAATATAGCATCAATAGTCTGTTTATAAATCATTTATGAAAAGACAAATAACAAATATATTGAAAACATCAACAACAAATAAAGCAGATGTCACACTGAAGACAAAAAGAATTTAACTGACAGATCATTTTACCTATTTAGGTAGCAACTTCAATTGCCAGGGAAGCATGAAGAAAGAAAATACCCACTGGCAAGGCAACAGCAGTTTTTAAAAATCTGAACAAAGTATGGAACTCTAACCTACACAGTTTTAAAACCTAGCTATGCATTGTTGGTTCTGATGGTTACCACCAAACAGCGCACCACTGAAAGCCCCATCACTTAGACATAAAGAAAACAGAGCTAGAGGTTGACCACGCAAGAGATGAATAGAATGGAATATTCTGAGCTGTAAATACCAGCATCTGCATAGCACACCAAGGCTCTCACCCGATGTCTCTTCCAAATTAGATGCTGAAAGACAATACAGAACTAGGGAAAAAGAAGAAGTTCTAATGTTATTTTTTTCAATTACAACGTATGCCAATGGGCAGCACCAACAGTTATAAGACAAAGAAAATGGCAACATATTGGGCACATCGTGAGCACAAGCCAACAGAGAATCACTAAATAGGCACTGAAATGAGAAACAAATGGGCGTCCAAGAGAAAACCTAAGATAAATGTTGAGAGAAGTCAGAGTAGCTGAACTTGATTCAATCCATGATACTGAAAATATTACGAAGGATAGAATAAAGTAAAGAAATAGACTCCGAGCGTTATTTACGAACATCACAACAGAATCACGATGATGATAATGATGCTTACTCTTATGTTAAAGTTATATATAGATTTAAGTGACATTTTGTTTTGTCATTTAGATCGAATAGCCACAGGTCAGTTTTGGATTGGACTAAGTGACCGACCAGCAGAGGGGACGTTTACCTGGGTCAATGGCACCAAGGTAAGTCACAAGATCTATAACTGTGATAGTCATTGTCACTTCATTCATGTACGCCTCACAGGGTTAGAAGTGGTAACATGTTAGCTGACTTTGAGATCTGAGAATTTAACAGAAGTTCTTAGTTAATGTTGAGTTGAGTCAAGAATTGACATCGCAGCACTCGGTGCATTTCCATTTGTGCTCTGTCCCCATCTTCAGCAGCCAGTAAAGGTAAAAAGTAAAGTCAGGAGATGTGAAAGTTCCAATACTAATAGTACTGGTCATAGTTTGGTTGTATGTCTTCCTGACCTTTTCTCTGATCATAGTGTGCAGATCAGACCCTCTGGTCATAGTTTGGTTGTATGTCTTCCTGACCTTTTCTCTGATCATAGTGTGCAGATCAGACCCTCTGGTCACAGTTTGGTTGTATGTCTTCCTGACCTTTTCTCTGATCATAGTGTGCAGATCAGACCCTCTGGTCACAGTTTGGTTGTATGTCTTCCTGACCTTTTCTCTGATCATAGTGTGCAGATCAGACCCTCTGGTCACAGTTTGGTTGTATGTCTTCCTGACCTTTTCTCTGATCATAGTGTGCAGATCAGACCCTCTGGTCACACCCGGGTGCATCATTCTCTCCAGACCATAATAATCTAGTTTCTCTTCTGACTGTTTTACTTGATCTCAATGGTCATTGACCACATCTACCTTGTCATATATCAGTTCACCACTCAGTGATGGAGCTCCAGCCAGTCTGTCTGCCTGTTCATTCCCCTCCACGCCTGCATCACCTGAATTAAAGATCCAAAGTATGCTCAGTACCTGTGATCTTGCAAGCGAAGCTTGCCACTCTGCTCCAAGCAATCCTGTCTTCACCTTTTTCAGCATGCCTTCAGAGTTCGTTACAATTACGAGATGTGTATACATCTTGTTCTCTAGCCACCGGAAAGCTGCAGTGACTGCCTCCACCTCCATTCTCATACTAGATGTTGTGGTATCAATATGCCTAGCTGTCGTGCACTTAAAATTCTCCATTGGCTTTCACTATGACTTCTCTACCCTCTCAACACAGAACCATCTGTATAGATAATCAGATCATGTGGACGAGACTTGTCATGACTCAGCCGTGGGACTTCCACCTTCATAATGTTAATGCTGAATGTTGGGCTGCGTATACCAAAGCATGCCATCTCACTTGTGCAAATGGCTTCCGGCAGAAGAGCATGTTGAGGAGGATGATAGACTTCTCCGAGGATGGGGAACTGCAACCTAAAAACTTCTTTCCATGGCAGAGCAGACCGGACTCTTAACCTTGGTTAACAGCTGGTCTGTGAGAGAAGTTTGGGCAGGTGGACAAACAGAACCCTGCTCTTTTCCTCTGGCAGCTTCAGAAACATCCTTTATTCCAAACGTATTTGTTACCTTTCCTTTCTTACCTTAACAAGAAGCAGAACCTTATATCGTCTGTGTCACCTGAAGCAGTAAAATAGGAAGGGAGGAAGAAAAAAATAGATGTAGTGCATTAATGCAGTGGCTAGACCATTTTCCTGCTAGTTCAGTAGTCAATGGTTTAAATCCCCCTTCAAATATTCATCTCTACGGAATTGTTACATTTACCTGGTATCCAGGTCAACCGAGCATAAAATGTAGTTAGCACTTTTCTGTCTTTCTAGACCATAGTGTTATATTGTGCTATGATGCGGCATGGGACTCACAGCCTATGGCAAGTGTTACTAGCAAGACCCGCCAGCATTAAGTCCTCCACAATTATAGCATGGGATTTCAGGACTGTTGCCGCCATCGTTTGTATTTAGTGTTTCTTCTCTGATGCTATCGCTCTCATCCTTTCTGCAGTCACTTCTTCCTTCATTCTCATTTCCTTCATGATGTGCCCCCCTCCACACAACACGGTCTATGGCATTTACCTCTCCATCGCACAAAGCCTGGGCAGTATTGTGGAAACCATAAGTTGCTCGTGCATCATGACCCCTCTCTCAACCTGCCTTGTTTACTGCAAAAGAAAGGTAACACCAATATATGGGAACAAATCACGCTGCAGAAGCTACCGGATCAGAAGAGCAGTACTCTGCCTGTCAGAGCTGTCCTCCTAGACCAGCTGCCAGGCAAGGGCTAAGGGCCTGGTTTGCCCTCCCATAATATAAAGTTTTCATGTTGCATTTCCTCTTCCTAGAATAAGGCTAGTATCCTCACCAATCCGCTCTTCCACCAGCCTAAAATAAATACGAGGAAATGTCCTGGAAAGTAAAGATGGCTGATATGAAATCGGCTGCTTTAGAGGCCAAGTTCTGATCAGTCTATAAAAATATTAAACCATTGTATGTAGGAGGTAGGTGCTTTGCTACACACACAAAATTGTCGTGTTCAATCAGCATCCTCAAAGGGAGAACTTAAGGTTACAATTGTGACTAGGTAATGTGCGCCATATAAAATGGCCTAACATTGCACACCACAAAGAGCCCTGAAAAAGGTCTCCTGCAGTGTTGATGTGATCATAAGAGACATACCCAAATGAAGTCGTCCACCGATGAGCCAGTAAGTGACCCGGTCGCCGACAAACCATTGTATGTATAACATTTATCTTTATATTGTCAATAAATAGACCGATTTTTTTAAATTTCCTGTTGTGTTATTTAAAACCACAGCTTGACCTAGCCAATTGGGCAACTGGACAACCAGACAACAGAGGGAATGAAAATTGTGTCACCCTGAGAGCTTCCTGGGAGGGGGCCAAATGGTTTGATCTAGCCTGCCAGGAGGAGAATAATTACATTTGTCAGAGACAGCCATGTGAGTGTTCTGGTGTTGTATCTAATGTCATGTGGTGTTGTATCTAATGACATGTGGTGTTGTATCTAATGACATGTGGTGTTGTATCTAATGACATGTGGTGTTGTATCTAATGTCATGTGGTGTTGTATCTAATGACATGTGGTGTTGTATCTAATGACATGTAGTGTTGTATCTAATGACATGTGGTGTTGTATCTAATGACATGTAGTGTTGTATCTAATGACATGTGGTGTTGTATCTAATGACATGTAGTGTTGTATCTAATGACATGTAGTGTTGTATCTAATGACATGTAGTGTTGTATCTAATGACATGTGGTGTTGTATCTAATGACATGTAGTGTTGTATCTAATGACATGTAGTGTTGTATCTAATGACATGTAGTGTTGTATCTAATGACATGTGGTGTTGTATCTAATGACATGTGGTGTTGTGTCTAATGACATGTGTTGTATCTAATGACATGTGGTGTTGTATCTAATGACATGTGTTGTATCTAATGACATGTGGTGTTGTATCTAATGACATGTGGTGTTGTATCTGATGACATGTGGTGTTGTATCTAATGACATGTGGTGTTGTATCTAATGACATGTGGTGTTGTATCTAATGACATGTGGTGTTGTGTCTAATGACATGTGGTGTTGTATCTAATGACATGTAGTGTTGTATCTAATGACATGTAGTGTTGTATCTAATGACATGTGGTGTTGTATCTAATGACATGTGGTGTTGTATCTAATGACATGTAGTGTTGTATCTAATGGCATGTAGTGTTGTATCTAATGACATGTGTTGTTGTATCTAATGACATGTAGTGTTGTATCTAATGACATGTAGTGTTGTATCTAATGACATGTAGTGTTGTATCTAATGACATGTGGTGTTGTATCTAATGACATGTGGTGTTGTGTCTAATGACATGTAGTGTTGTGTCTAATGACATGTAGTGTTGTATCTAATGACATGTAGTGTTGTATCTAATGACATGTAGTGTTGTATCTAATGACATGTGGTGTTGTGTCTAATGACATGTAGTGTTGTACCTAATGACATGTAGTGTTGTACCTAATGACATGTAGTGTTGTACCTAATGACATGTAGTGTTGTATCTAATGACATGTAGTGTTGTATCTAATGGCATGTAGTGTTGTATCTAATGACATGTGGTGTTGTGTCTAATGACATGTGGTGTTGTATCTAATGACATGTGGTGTTGTATCTAATGACATGTGGTGTTGTATCTAATGGCATGTGGTGTTGTGTCTAATGACATGTGGTGTTGTATCTAATGACATGTAGTGTTGTATCTAATGACATGTAGTGTTGTATCTAATGACATGTAGTGTTGTATCTAATGACATGTGGTGTTGTATCTAATGACATGTGGTGTTGTGTCTAATGACATGTGGTGTTGTATCTAATGACATGTAGTGTTGTACCTAATGACATATAGGGTTGTATCTAATGACATGTAGTGTTGTATCTAATGACATGTGGTGTTGTGTCTAATGACATGTGGTGTTGTATCTAATGACATGTAGTGTTGTATCTAATGACATGTGGTGTTGTATCTAATGACATGTGGTGTTGTATCTAATGACATGTAGTGTTGTATCTAATGACATGTGGTGTTGTATCTAATGACATGTGGTGTTGTATCTAATGACATGTATTGTTGTATCTAATGACATGTATTGTTGTATCTAATGACATGTGGTGTTGTTTCTAATGACATGTGGTGTTGTATCTAATGACATGTGGTGTTGTATCTAATGACATGTGGTGTTGTATCTAATGACATGTAGTGTTGTATCTAATGACATGTGGTGTTGTATCTAATGACATGTAGTGTTGTGTCTAATGACATGTGGTGTTGTATCTAATGACATGTAGTGTTGTATCTAATGACATGTGGTGTTGTATCTAATGACATGTGTTGTATCTAATGACATGTAGTGTTGTATCTAATGACATGTGGTGTTGTGTCTAATGACATGTAGTGTTGTATCTAATGACATGTGGTGTTGTTTCTAATGACATGTGGTGTTGTTTCTAATGACATGTGGTGTTGTATCTAATGACATGTAGTGTTGTATCTAATGACATGTAGTGTTGTATCTAATGACATGTAGTGTTGTATCTAATGACATGTAGTGTTGTATCTAATGACATGTGGTGTTGTGTCTAATGACATGTGGTGTTGTATCTAATGACATGTGGTGTTGTATCTAATGACATGTGGTGTTGTATCTAATGACATGTGGTGTTGTATCTAATGACATGTAGTGTTGTATCTAATGACATGTGGTGTTGTATCTAATGACATGTAGTGTTGTGTCTAATGACATGTGGTGTTGTATCTAATGACATGTAGTGTTGTATCTAATGACATGTGGTGTTGTATCTAATGACATGTGTTGTATCTAATGACATGTAGTGTTGTATCTAATGACATGTGGTGTTGTGTCTAATGACATGTGGTGTTGTATCTAATGACATGTAGTGTTGTATCTAATGACATGTAGTGTTGTATCTAATGACATGTGGTGTTGTATCTAATGACATGTGGTGTTGTGTCTAATGACATGTGGTGTTGTGTCTAATGACATGTGGTGTTGTATCTAATGACATGTCGTGTTGTATCTAATGGCATGTAGTGTTGTATCTAATGACATGTGGTGTTGTATCTAATGACATGTGGTGTTGTGTCTAATGACATGTGGTGTTGTGTCTAATGACATGTGGTGTTGTATCTAATGGCATGTAGTGTTGTATCTAATGACATGTGGTGTTGTATCTAATGACATGTAGTGTTGTATCTAATGGCATGTAGTGTTGTATCTAATGACATGTGGTGTTGTGTCTAATGACATGTGGTGTTGTATCTAATGACATGTGGTGTTGTATCTAATGACATGTGGTGTTGTATCTAATGGCATGTAGTGTTGTACCTAATGACATGTAGGGTTGTATCTAATGACATGTAGTGTTGTATCTAATGACATGTGGTGTTGTGTCTAATGACATGTGGTGTTGTATCTAATGACATGTAGTGTTGTATCTAATGACATGTGGTGTTGTATCTAATGACATGTGGTGTTGTATCTAATGACATGTAGTGTTGTATCTAATGACATGTGGTGTTGTATCTAATGACATGTAGTGTTGTATCTAATGACATGTATTGTTGTATCTAATGACATGTATTGTTGTATCTAATGACATGTGGTGTTGTTTCTAATGACATGTGGTGTTGTATCTAATGACATGTGGTGTTGTATCTTATGACATGTGGTGTTGTATCTAATGACATGTAGTGTTGTATCTAATGACATGTAGTGTTGTATCTAATGACATGTATTGTTGTATCTAATGACATGTAGTGTTGTGTCTAATGACATGTTGTGTTGTATCTAATGACATGTAGTGTTGTATCTAATGACATGTGGTGTTGTATCTAATGACATGTGTTGTATCTAATGACATGTAGTGTTGTATCTAATGACATGTGGTGTTGTGTCTAATGACATGTAGTGTTGTATCTAATGACATGTGGTGTTGTTTCTAATGACATGTGGTGTTGTATCTAATGACATGTGGTGTTGTATCTAATGACATGTGGTGTTGTATCTAATGACATGTAGTGTTGTATCTAATGACATGTAGTGTTGTATCTAATGACATGTAGTGTTGTATCTAATGACATGTGGTGTTGTGTCTAATGACATGTGGTGTTGTATCTAATGACATGTAGTGTTGTATCTAATGACATGTGGTGTTGTATCTAATGACATGTGTTGTATCTAATGACATGTAGTGTTGTATCTAATGACATGTGGTGTTGTGTCTAATGACATGTAGTGTTGTATCTAATGACATGTAGTGTTGTATCTAATGACATGTGGTGTTGTGTCTAATGACATGTGGTGTTGTATCTAATGACATGTAGTGTTGTATCTAATGACATGTAGTGTTGTATCTAATGACATGTGGTGTTGTATCTAATGACATGTGGTGTTGTGTCTAATGACATGTGGTGTTGTGTCTAATGACATGTGGTGTTGTATCTAATGACATGTAGTGTTGTATCTAATGGCATGTAGTGTTGTATCTAATGACATGTGGTGTTGTATCTAATGACATGTGGTGTTGTGTCTAATGACATGTGGTGTTGTGTCTAATGACTTGTGGTGTTGTATCTAATGGCATGTAGTGTTGTATCTAATGACATGTGGTGTTGTATCTAATGACATGTAGTGTTGTATCTAATGACATGTGGTGTTGTATCTAATGACATGTGTTGTATCTGATGACATGTGGTGTTGTATCTAATGACATGTGGTGTTGTATCTAATGACATGTGGTGTTGTATCTAATGACATGTGGTGTTGTATCTAATGACATGTGGTGTTGTATCTAATGACATGTGGTGTTGTATCTAATGACATGTGGTGTTGTATCTAATGACATGTGTTGTATCTAATGACATGTGGTGTTGTATCTAATGACATGTGGTGTTGTATCTAATGACATGTTGTGTTGTTTCTAATGACATGTGGTGTTGTATGTAATGGACAAGTGTTGTATCTAATGACATGTAAGCCCTGCGTTGGCTAGAACAGCTGGACGGCAACCTGGTGACAAACTCCTTGTGGTCCAAGTTCACACTCCGGGGTAGGCATAAAAACCATGTATTTCCAAGATTTGCAGTATCAAGACCAAAGGGTTGCGCTAATCATAGTACCCATCCAAAGGATTTACAACTCATGGTTTTTGGATCTTCACAAACACAAAATGGATATGTAATGTTGTATCTCATGACATGTAATGTTGTATCTAATGACTTGTAATGTTGCATCTAATGACATGTAATATTGTATCTTCTTCTTCTTATCTTCCACCTTTTACCTCAGTGAAGTGTCGGGGGGAGATGTAATGTTCGTTGATGAGCTCTGTCAAGAGCACTGTTAAGACTGATGTTTATTTCTGTAAGGCTGTTCTTAATGCCATCACTCCATCTTTTCCGAGGTCTTCCACTGGCTCTATACCCGTTGTAACATTTTAGTGTGGCTCGCTGTAGCAGATAGTACCAGGGCATTTTTGTTAGGTGTCCAAACCACTTCATGTTGTATCTAAAGACATTTAATGTTGCATCTAATGACATGTAATGTTGTATCTAATGAGACGTAATGTTGTATCTAATGACGTGTAATGGTTTATCTAATGACATGTAATGTTGTATCTAATGACCTGTAGTGTTGTATTTAATGACATGTTGTGTTGTATCTAATGACATGTGTTGTATCTAATGACATGTGGTGTTGTATCTAATGACATGTGGTGTTGTATCTAATGACATGTGTTGTATCTAATGACATGTGGTGTTGTATCTAATGACATGTGTTGTATCTAATGACCTGTAGTGTTGTATCTAATGACATGAGTTGTATCTGATGACATGTGGTGTTGTATCTAATGACATGTAGTGTTGTATCTGATGACATGTAAGCCCTGCGCACTAGCTCAGTTGGCTAAAACAGCTGCACAGTGACCGGGTGACAAACTCCTTGTGGTCCAAGCTCACTCTCAGGGGGTAGGCATAGAAGCCACATATTTCCAAGATTTATGGTATCAAGGCTGAAGGGTTGCGATAATCATAGTACCAAGGCAAAGGGTTTACAACTAATGGTTTCTGAATCTACCCACACACACACACACACACACACACACACACACACACACACACACACACACACACACACACACACACATTTTGTTTTAACCAACATGTAATGTTGTATCTAATTACATTTAATGTTGTATCTAATGAGATGTAATGTCAAATCTAATGACATGTTATGATTACCTAATGTACATGTAGTGTTGTATCTAACAGACATCTAATTACATGTAGCAATGCTAATACTCACAAAGAAATAAGTTGAATGTACTGCAGCCTTTAGGAAGTAATGTTGGTTCTTTTTTTCCCCTTATGTTCGTGGACTTGCCACTGATGGCTTTCCATTTCTACCTCCAGTAAACAAGTCAGCATCTGCATATCCAGAGACTACAGCATCAACAGGTAATTCAGCAGTTGATCTCTTTCAGTCCCATTAGCTAATGTCCAGGAGAGAATAGAATTACATCATTAAACTCATGGGTATACTACTTCCCCAGGGGCTAGATACACAATCCTTGTACAAGACAAATTTGTTGTCCAGGTTTTTTAAAGATACCTAGATTAAACATGAGATAAATAAACATATATATAATACATTGTCTGGTACGCATAAAGAGTTAATGACACATTGATTGATGGAATTGTCATAGCAGCTCATAAAACTCAAATGTATGTGGAAAAGTCATTGTGCATCTTACAGTAAATACAGTATGTTCATATTTGCAATTTTTTTTCAAATTTTAGAATGTGGGGTTTTTGTTTAATTTCTGCAGTACCACTGTCTGCGAATGACTGGGTCTTGTAGGGAAGGTAGAGATGGGTAATATAGCGTTCTACCAAGCTAATGATCCATTGGGGAATAAAAGGCATAAGAAGAAAAATTATAATGAGGAGGAAGAAGAAGAAAAAGTAATAGGAGGAAGAAGAAGAAGAAGAATGACAAGAAGAATAAGGAGGAAAAAGAAGTAGAAGAATAAGAAGCAAAGATGAAGAAGAAGAATACTGCAACATCTTCTTCATCGATCCTGTATTTGCATATTCAGTTTTTAGTTTACTTTTCTTCTGTTCATCATCATCACCAGTTCTCGTTATGCCTAGTGGCACATGAGGCTTCAGAGAGGACTTTCCATGCTTTCCTGTCCTGTGCAATCTTCAGTGCAGTTTTCCATGTCAAAGATGCCGCACTCAGGTCACTTTCCATCATTCGTCTCCATGTTGTTTTTGGGCACCCCTGTTTACTCTTTCCCTCTGGTGTCCATGTGAGAGCTGTCTTGGCAGTTATATCAGAAGTCATTCTCGTAACGTGGCCAAGCCATTTCCATCTTCTCTTGGTAATCATACTGTCTAAAGTTTCTTGGTTTGTGGCTTGAAGTAGTTTAGTGTTTGAGATTGTATCTAGCCAGAAAATTTTTATAATTCTACGTAGACATGTGTGGTGGAAGGTGGACAGCTTGTGTGCATCCTTTTTGGTCATTCTCCAGCATTCCGCTCCATAAAGAAGAACTGGCAAAGTGATGCTCTTGTAGAGTCGGAGTTTCGTTCCTCTGCAGTAATTGTTGGATTTCCAGATTTGCCTCATCCTTCCAAAAGCAGCTCTAGCTTTGTTCAGACGTGACTGAATGTCTTCCTCTGTCCCTCCCAGTAGGGACACCACACTGCCAAGATATGTGAAATGTTCTACATTTTCAAGTGACTGGTTATTTATAGTCACTGGTTGTTGGTTTGGACTGTTTGTCATGATCTTAGTTTTCTTTGTATTTATTCTCAGTCCCAACATTTCTGCTGTGCAGTTTAGTCTGTTACTTTTCTCTTGTATATGTTCATGTTTATGTGATAGGAGTGCTATATCATATGCAAAATCAAGGTCCTCAAGCATGGTGAATGGAGTCCATTGTATGCCTCTTAATGTCCTGTCTACTGTGTTCTTTAGTATCCAATCAATCATAAGGTTGAAGAGGAGAGATGACATAACACATCCCTGTCTTACACCCGTCTTTACTGGGAAAGATGTATTGTAATTTTTTATACTGCAGAAAAAGTCTTTATAGAAGAGAGCAATTATGTTGACTATTTTTTCTGGAATTCCATAATGTCGTAAAATTGTCCACAGACCGTCTCTATGGACGCTGTCAAAAGCTTTCTCAAAGTCCACAAAATTAAGATATATACTTCTCTGCCATTCGTTGCATTGTTCTAAAATGTTATGTATGGCGAAGATGTGCTCAGTTGTTCCTCTGCCCTTTCTGAATCCTGCTTGTTCCACTCGTAGGCATTTATCTACTCCTTTTTCATGCCGTATTATGATGATTTTACCAAATATTTTGCTTGGTACTGAGAGTAGAGTAATTCCCTTCCAATTATTGCAGTCTGTTAAGTCTCCTTTTTTGGGGATTTTGACTATTGTTCCTTCAGTCCAGTCATCAGGCAACACTTCTTTTTCCCAAATATCCTTGAACAATGGTTCTAGAATGCTAGCAGTTGTGTTGGGATCTACTTTGAGAAGTTCTGCTGGTAGTTCGTCTTTGCCTGGGGCTTTGTTGTTCTTTAAAGTGTGGATGGCTTTAAGGATTTCTTGTTTGCTTGATGGTTCAGTAATAATGTCAATGTCCTGAGAGGCTGGTTGAATATCTGGGGGATTTTCAGGATCAGGTCTGTTCAAGAGGTCGGAGAAGTGTTTAGTCCACTGCATGTCTTGTTTTTGTTCTGTTGTGAGCAGTCTACCTTCGTTATCTCTGATGGGTATGCTGTGATAATTGTTTCTGTTTCCGCAAATTTGCTGGGTAATTTTGTGTAAGGTTTGTAGATCATGTGCTTTAGCAGCATTTTCTGCTGTTTCTGCAAGATTTTCCATAAATCTTCTCTTGTCAGCTCTGGCACTTTTCTTGGTCATTTTATTTAGTTTGCTATATTCTAACATTAGTTTGTCTTTCTGACATTCTGATTTAGTGTGATTTATGAGGCTCTTTATTCTTTTTCGCTTGGCAATATAGTCCATGGTTTGATTACTTATCCATTCTTTGTGGTGTTTTTTCATAGTTCCTAATATGTTATTGCTAGTTGATTTGTATGTTTCTTTGATCTGGTTCCATCTGTCTTGAATGCTGACTGTAGTTGGAGTTTCTGGGTCACTGTTCACGAAGATTATATTCAACTTATCTTAAGAGGTCATAACAGAAAAATTGGCACAGAACTCATTCTAAATTACTTACACAGACAGCAAATCAAATGGTTTTCTCCCTTAGAGCCAGTGCCTTTTGACACCATAACCATACCCTACAAGGCATACACCGAAACAGGATAAGGACATAAAGCACAAGATAGATCAAGAACAAGATTTCAGATATTATGAGAGAAACTCTACAACAGCACAATGTATGTCTATGGTTGAGGCGGACACAAGAGCAAGAACAGAACCTTGTATCCTCCCCAACACCAAAATCAGTAAAGAGGAAGTGAAGAAGAAGAAGAAGTATTGAAATGATTACATGTTAAAATGAAGACACTGCAAATCTGTCTCTCTGCAGTTCCTTACAGTGCCAGATGTGGAGTGTTTTGGGAGGACAGACCAGGAACTAACTTCTGCTACCAGTTCAGGGACACAGCACTGTCCTGGGCCGATGCTCTAGAGACTTGCAACAGCTTCAATGGAAGCTTGGCCAGCATTGCTTCACGAGATGAGCAGAGCTATCTTGAGGGTATGTAGATCACGGCCGAGCCAAAGTTCAAGGGTCGCAGCTTTTTCTTTCACTTTTTAACCCTCAACTGATTGGTCCTCTGCTAACACATCAAGAACTCCTATCCTTTGGTGTCCCCTGCAGCTGCCTGTGTCCTTCCTAAACCAGTTATCTTTGTGTGACAGAACGGCAGTTTTGTCAGTAAAGTGTCAATCATCAGGGTCCATTAGATTCTATTTCTGGTGATAACTATTGATGCCTTCATAGTTCTGCCATCCTGTTTTTATAGGATTCACCATCAACTTCTTTTCTCTTCATCAAGTTCCATTTCTTCATTGAAGTTCATTTGTAATGAGTCTCTCTCTCTCTCTCTCTCTCTCTCTCTCTGTCTTTCTCTCTCCTCTCTCTCTCTCTGTCTCTCTCTCTCTGTCTCCTCTCTCTCTCTGTGTCTCTCTCTCTGTCTCTCGCTCTCTCTGTCTCTCTCTGTCTCTCTCTCTGTCTCTCTTTCTCTGTCTCTCTTTCTCTGTCTCTCTCTCTGTCTCTCTCTGTCTCTCTCTCTGTCTCTCTCTCTGTCTCTCTATGTCTCTCTCTGTCTCTCTCTGTCTCTCTCTGTCTCTCTCTCTGTCTCTCTCTCTATCTCTCTCTCTGTCTCTCTCTCTGTCTCTCTCTCTGTCTCTCTCTCTGTCTCTCTCTGTCTCTCTCTCTGTCTCTCTCTCTGTCTCTCTCTCTCTCTCTCTCTCTGTCTCTCTCTCTGTCTGTCTCTCTGTCTCTCTCTCTGTCTGTATCTATATCTCTCTATATATATGTATATAATATATATTATATATATATATATATATATATATATATATATATACACATACATACATATATATGTATCTATGTATGTGTGTGTTGTGTGCTCATATAATGTATTTGTGTGTATGATACGTAGGTTGTGCAGTGTATGTGTGTGTATATGCATACAAGTATGTGTGTTTGCCTGTATGTGTATGAATGTTTATGTAAATATGTTTGTATGTATGTGTGCATATTTGCTATGATTGTATATCTAAATGTATGCATTTACCATCCATGTTTTTGTGTATTTTACTTGATACACAAAATATGTCTATTTTACGTGAACACAACATGCTTTAAAGATAAATACAATTGCAGAATGAAATATGAGTTTGAAAGAGCCGCATTAAGAAGAGCCTGCGTGTCCAGTTTATAACGATTTAAAAATTAAGTTTGTTAATTTCTTCTCTGTCTACCTTCCTCTAACAACACACTTCAGAAGAATAAACCTGTTGGCATTGTACCACTCCTCAGGGAGGCTAAACTCTCTGACGTCTGTCAACTTTTGGATTGGAGCTTCAGATCGCAGGAGAGAGGCAGGTTGGCAGTGGGAAGATGGTACACCTTTCGCCTATCTCAACTGGTTTCCAGGTATTTGTTCTTGCCAAGGCCTTGTTGTTATGGTGACTGAGTAGATGTGAGTTGTCAGTAAGATATTTTATACAGACATAAACATACGGGGAACCCTTGAGCCTGTAGAATCGTTATATATATATAATAAACAAACAGACAATGTACTGATCAGCACTTATAGAAAGAAGTAGAAAGACACTCTATACATCATAAAAATCAAAAGCTATAATTATCCTGCTGGGAATCTATCCTGTCACCTTGAAAAGGGATGCCTAGTTGGTCATGCGTCTTAGTACACTTGTTTCTGCAGCAGAGCACATTCATCATTACATTATGTTTTGTTGTGCTATGTTATCACTATCAACGTCACTGTAAATTTGGCATTTCATTGTATACTCAGCTCTCCGATGCAGCAGCCACTTCAAGGTACCTTTACTGACTGTTCCCATGAGGAGCTGGTTACAGTGTCTCCTATTTTGCCTTCAAAGATGGCACAGACATGCTTCACTAGACTTCAACTCAAGGTTGTGTAATCGTGTTAGCATCAGAGACTCGTCATTATCCGCCAGATAAGCCAATACACAGTTCATGATATCAGCTTTGTCTGCCAGTTTATTGAAAATAACACAGGATTCTTGCCGGATCCACATCTAATTCCTCATTTTTGCACTCTAACATGTTATTTCATCTAACTTTGTATCTTCTATTAGCATTAGCTCATAAATGATCTTCAGGATGTGTGCTTTGCCCAGTACGAGTATTCCCATAGCTATCACTTTTGTAGCCAGAAAAATATTTCATTCCCTCACACTGAATTAAATCAATAATAAACTTGCGTCTGTTACAGGTGAGCCCAATGATCAGGTGACTGAGGACTGTGTGGCCTTGAATACCAAGACAACCATGTGGTATGACTATCCCTGCAATCAAAGGCTTGGCTTTGTCTGCAAGAAAGTTGGTCAGTGCAGACATGTTCATTGCTTTCTGTGTGTTATTTTTTGTGTGACATGAATGAGGAAATGCAGACTGAAAAATTAATGTTATGGCATTGCAGAACTTAAAAACCCAGATTTTGGGGTGAGGGGACCCTGCATTGGCAGCTCTGAGTTTTGCAGATGCTGTGTTGCTGCAGAAAGCAACGCTACTCTGCTTGTCGCTCGCCAGTGATGACAGTTGAAGGAAATTCATCTTACAGTTCAGGTCACGGAGTAAAGCCGCAGTGGATAGCAACAAAGAGCCAACGCAGAAGGCTGTAACACACACAGTGCTGCCGGACACTGTCAACACTGTGGAAAATAGAACAAGTTGCTGGCCCTGGAACATAGAACGCTTAGAGCATTGAAAATAACGCAACATGACACCCCTAGAACATACAGCAGCCTGTGGGAATGGCCACGGCCATGAATGGGAGCGGACAGGAAATTTTGCGCAGCGGAGAGACGTAGGTACATGCAGGCATGTTTGTGATAAGTGCCAATATTTACATATATATATATAAATGGTCAGAGCTCTTCAGTCTGTGGCTAAACATAAGATGTAAAAAACATACATAACATGTTGATTGGTACACATGAATCATACATAGTCATGTATGGTGCATTGTTTGGGGCCGAAAGAGTTCAGGAACTGAAAAGGACTTTTTTTTTTTTAAATCACGCCAGTGGCCCTCAGTAGGTGATCTGGCAACATCACACCAGCTGCCTTTACCTCCCAGGACATTACCTGGTACACATTTTAAGCTGGGTCAACCTGAGAACCAGTGGTAATTTCTAATTTTTTTTTTTTTTTTTTTTTGAATCCAAAAGATCTTGAAAGATCTGAACATCAAACAGCATCTTGTCTCAGAAACTGAAATATTTTGGCCATATCAAGTGCTACAGCGGCTTGGAAAGAAAAATAGCAGAAGGTATGATACCAGGAAAAAGGGGCAGAGGCCAACTAGCACGGAGATGGGCACAGGATATAAATGACACCTTTTGTAGGAAAATGCATGTGGCAGGAGAGCTGGAGAGAGTTTCAGGCAGACTGTGAGGAGAGGAACGTTCTGCAAGGAGCCTGCCACATAATGATGGTGATAAAGTAAAGTAAAGGACCATTTCCTATGCCTTCAGGCATTTTGGGCATATAGGGCTAGGTCTGTATCTTATAGACCAGTCAGCACTCAGTGGGTGATGTGCTCAGCATCACGCCAGCCACCTTTATTTTCCATGACTCTACCTTTTACCTATTTAAGGCTGGGGTGACCTGGGAGCAAAGATGATTTTTGAAAATATCCGGCTCTGCCAGAACCTGAAGCCATGACTTTTGAATCCGCAGGTGAGCATCTATTCCTACATCACACAGATTCCTGATGAGGGTGATGAGGCTAAGTTTTTTATCTGATTCATTTTCTTGTTTGTTCTAACAGCAGACCCCAACCAGGTGACTCCCTTACCAACTGTGGCTGTCCCCAATGTACTGCGAGGTAAGTTAGCCATCTTTCAATTTATCTGTTCTTCATAGGTTGTTTTTTTTGGTGTGATCGCTGTCTGATTCACACCGACAAACGAGTTCTGGTAACCAAAAAAAAACTTTTTTTGGATGGGGGAAGTTCTTTGATAGTTCCATACAACTTTTTGTATAATTTGAAAGTCAATATTCCCTCCTTAATGGGTTGTACAAAGGACAGACTTGCAGGACATGTTCTGCAGTCTGCTCAGACAGCGCTCATGGGCACAGTTGTGAACTACTTGGACGAAGCCTGTGCATTTGTTTGTTAAACTTGTTATGGCCTGTCCTGATTTGTAGAATAATGACCTGTCCATGCCGGTCAAGTAAGTGGTAGTCATATCTGGATATATTCTGTTCACTTTCGATGGCTGGATGGCCCTTTTTTTCTCAGAGTATGTTATTACACTTCATAACTTAGTTTTCACATATTTGCAGGCAAAATTTGACAGCCCTTTTTACCAGTAGTTTCTTTGACGTTCTATGTCCATTGTTGTATTTGTTGTCTACTGCCTCCTCTTCCATTTCTTCTATTAGTATTCTTTTGAAACCATTGATATTTCTTCTTCTTCTTCTCCACTTCCTCTCTTATCGCTTTAGGTGTTGAGGGAGATATAAGCTTCTGCTTCTTGCTCTTCTAGCCGCCTTGACCACAGACACATCGTGCTTTTGTAGAGTTTCTCCGATCTTATCTTTTCATCTTGTTCTTGGTTTGTCTTGTGCTCTGTGTCCTTCTCCTGTTTTGGTGTATGCTTTGTATGGTATGGCATCACAAAGCACTCTCTCTAAAGTGGACAAATCATTTGATCTCCTGTAATTTTTATGTAATTTAGAATTGGTTCTTTGCCAGCCATTTCTCTTATGACCTCATTTCTGATTTTATTTCTTCTGGTCACTGCCACAGTCCTTCTTAGACATCTCATTTCCATAGTTACCAATTTTCTTTTGTAGTTTGTTGTGCGTGCCCATATGTCTGGCACTGGTAGCATAAAGTTGGATTGAAAATGCTTTATATGAGATGTTTGTGCTGATCAGGATATTGATGTGTAACTTGCCTAGTTGTTCCTCTTCTACCTTGTGGTGTAGAGGTTTGCCAGAGAGATCGCCAGATGTCTCTGTCTGCAGTTTTCTTTCTAGCTTTGTTCCATTACTGTCCTCTGTCAGTTAGGGACTGTCACATGTTGTCTTCCCAGTGGACCCTGGGTTGCCCTAGAGGTGTGGTTCCCTGGTCCTTAGCCTGCCATGGTGGCCAATTTTCTCCCATTCTGCATACATGATATTGATGTTTAATACAGTCAGAATTGTTCACTAACTGAGACTCAATGTTGTTTTTGAGCAGTGTTATTTTATGTTCAGATCTAGAAAAATGTCTTTTTTTTTTAATCTGCATATTTTAAAAATGTTTATGTAGCAGACATCTCGTTTAAAAAAAAAAAAATTTAAATTGACGTAATTGTGAAACGGTGCGTGATTCATATCTGTATACTGCTGTTTTATTTCATCAGTAAATATATTCTTGATCTTCCCCTCAAGTCTATGCTGACTTGGACCAACCTGTTTGCCATAATTCTGGAGGTGAGCCGGTTGTGTATTTTGGGAAGCCAGGTTTTCTCAACATGCTCTGGCAAAATGTTAAAAGAAATCAAATACATGATGCAATTGTTGAATTGGGGAAGAGCTGATCACACATCATACGTTGTTTGCGACTGAAAGACTTCATTGTGTATTAAAAAATCATTTGTCGCCAGATGTTTAGAAACACTAAAATGTGTTAATAGAATAGCCGTATCAGGCCTACATGTCTAGATTTGTAATTGTGTACGTTATTATTCAAACGTTAATAAGGTTCCTGAAAAATGCATAGAAAATATTTTATGTATTTGTATCTTTCACAGTTGGTCAGTATTACGGTTGCCCGATAGGCTGGTTAGCTTATGACAGCAGCTGTTATCTGATGAGGACGGTGCCCACTACATGGATGGATGCTCACGTCGCATGTAGACAAGAGGGGGCAGCACTTGCCAGCGTCGGCTCAGATCTGGAGAATAAGTTTATCTGGAGTCAGTTGCCTAAAGGTAAGTTTCAACCCAACTTTATTGTTTGGGTTAGTATTTTATCTCATAAATATTCATTTTTTATCAGTGTGAAGGAGTATCTGTATTCCTTTTGTACTGGGTCTCTCTCGTACTTACTTTCACTTGGACACAGTCGACCTAGGCTGTTGTCTAGGGGGTGCAGATCCACAGATTAGATGAGGCAGACTTCTCTTCCAACAAGCTACCACTCGTCTCCAAATGACAGTGGACGATAGTTTTTGTCAATTCCAGCTTTATTCAGTGTCATTCAATATCATATCAGCGACAAAAATCAACATAACAACCTCACTTACGCCATCCAGGCACGGTGCACTTGCTGAGACCTTTGGGCATACAGCAATGCCATGGTTGACACGAACCTGCACATGGTCAGCACAATCAGTCCTCAGATACATTTCAATGTGGCTTTACTACAATGTGGGTGTCTGTGGTTTAAACATTGCTAATGAGCTTTGTAAAGCCGGGGTGCTTAGCCCGATCCCAGCTGCGGACGGTTTGACTTGTGTAGGTTTTCGACAGTGGTACCGAGAGCTGACTGTTCAGTAAATTTGCCTAGAAAAACAACAGCCAAAAAATGCTGGGGTGGGTTCTGCAATGTCCTATACAGGATACACAACTAACTTTTTACTAAAACCACTTAATACCCATTCAGGTTCAACGTTCACCCTGTTTCACTCAGGGTCGACTTTCACTCTGAACTCTCTGGAGTCCTGTCACAAAATGACTCACTAGTCAGTGATTTTCCCAGACTTCATGTTCACACATGAGTTCAACAATCTTGTGTTTTACAATTTCCACATAAATCTCATGTCTCTCACTCTTGGGACTTCCCCAGTTCTGTCATCAGCCAACCCCTTAACTTTATACCTATTTATAGCCTCATTACAATCAATGTAGTGGCTAAATGCTGCCCTGCGGATCCGACGGTCGCGAGTTCAAATCCAAATGGTGCCAGACTGTTTTCAGAAATGACTGGCTGCCAGGTCAGCTGAACCCTAAATGGGTACCAAGTAAACTCAAGGGAAGCAAAGGCGGCCAGCGTGATGTTTTACCACATCACCTGCTGAGAGCCTACTGGTCTGTAAAATATAGGTCTAGCCCTATATGCCCCATATGTCTGAAGCAATTAAGGGGTCCTTTATTTTATCAGTGCAAATATTCACCTTGTCAAAACAGCTTGACCATTGGCTAGCTGGTTTTTGATGTTGGTTGATTTGATTTTTATAAATCTTCATCTTCATTGCACATAAAAAAATGACTGTATTCTTTGCACAAACATAGCCGTGCTCAGTCTCATGTTACTGATCCCGCACAGAGGTCCTCATACAGAGTAGAAACTTCACAGCACTAGCTCAGATATAAAACATGTTCATACCAACATATGAATACCAGAATTAAACAACATGGTATAATGATTCTATATTGTGCTTAGAATAATCTTCTCCTTCCTTACGTTCATTGGCTGTAAGCTCCGGTGGGAAGTTCTGGTTGTTCGTCCACTTCTGGTCTTGAGTCTTGTTCCAGAACCGCTTTACTTATGACTTAATTTGTGTGCAGATTGTTAGTTCCTTGCCTCTCAGGCAGATGTACTCTGACTTTGAAGGAAGCTGCCAATTAATCAACTCTCACAACATTGTTTGTTGGAGGGGCAGTGGGTCTGTTCTGGTTTTCCCTACAGTGGGGTCCTGGAACCCACACGGGGAGCTCAGAATAATAAAATTGATTCCTAGAGTTGAAGAGTTACTCGAGAGGATCAACTCCATTGCAACGGGATTTATCCCAAATTATTTGGGATAAACAGAACGGCTAGCTGCCCTCTGAGAGCATCATAAAAAGCATGAACAGCATAGTTCCAAAGATGATCACCAGGGGTCTGCGTAAATATTGCACTCCTGAGCTTAATGCTGCAGCTGGGAAACAAATCCACAGCCTTCAGAGCAGAAGGCAATTGGCTTAACCACTTTTTCTCTGAGACCCAACCTTCATCATCATGTAGCAGATCTTTTGCAGAATGTTGCTCTCATCATGGTCTGGCTAAAAGTGTTTGTCAGGCCCTGTCCTTCCTTCCTGGTACAATGCCTTCTGCTATTGCTTTTTTCGAATCCACCATGTCGCTTGATATGACCAAAATATTTCAGCTTCTGTGACAAGATGCTGAGACCCAACTAGCTGATAGAATTGATTCACAGTTAGCTTGTAAAATGTCGGTGCAAGCTGTGAGAAAAACCCTCTATGATTGGTTCACAGAGGCCTGCCGGAATGCTCACTCAAATGACAGCCAATGTCAGGCCTGGGCCGATACCAATGAATGTCAGAAAAATCCATCGTGGATGTCGGTGAACTGTCGGATGGCATGTTCCTTGTGCACTCAGACCTGCTCGGACAAACACACTCATTACGAATGCAGATTCTGGGCAAGCATAGGAGAATGTCGGCAGAATCCTGATTGGATGTGGGAAAACTGTGCTCTGTCATGTGGTTGTGATGCATGTAAGTACCTGTATTTAGTTATTTTCATCCTCATTGTCATAATGTAGGGCTCTGTGGCTCAGAGAAAGGCTATTCAACTATAGTCGATAGGAGACTCACTTTTAAAACCAGCTGCGACTCGCTGCAGCCCGGGGTTCACCCAGCCTCTAGGTAATAGGTACCAGAGTTAACACTCTGGGGTAAATGGACTAACGTCGCTGTAGCTGTGGAGTTGCGTGCGGACAGTGACACAGGCGGACAGTTTCTTATCAGCTGTTCCTACTGATAGCAGAGCACTTATGCTTTATAATCGTGTGCAATAACGCTGGTTCACATCTCACGACTTTACCTTTTACTTTTTATTCAACTAAGTTTACCCAGGGGCCACTATTTTGAAAATGGGGATCCTCCTGGGCCAGAGACCTGAGTCCCAGCATCGAGAGATCTTGAATATAATACAACTGACAATAATCTATGGACTGCTTGGGCCTTCGTAGACCAGTTGAATAGCCCTAGCTTAGAGGCTAGCAAATTGGGTTAACAGTTTCATGATCATCCAGTGCTGTGGTTTGTCTCCTGCGTTGGATGGGGAAAAAATCCCACTCTCATGGTTTTTTGACAGTAGTACGAGACTGGCATCATGGGAGAAATTGGGGCCTCAGCGCGCAGTATTGCCACAGACAACATTGGCACTCTGTAACCAACCTTCATTGTGGAGACAACATGGAAAATATGTGTATAACATAATCATCATCATGTTTCCATGTGGTATGAAAATGGGTGCTTTACATTTGTTAAATTCATGTTATGATAATAGGTGCTTTACCATTTAAATGTTTTTTTTTTTTGTCTGTTTTATTCATGGTTTTAAAATGGGTACTTTACTGTAAGCTTGTTAATTTATTATTTTAATTTTTTAAAGATGGGTTCTTTTCTTTTCTGTTTTTTTTTTTAGTTTGTTAAATTCATGGTATGAGAAGTTCTTTACTGTTTTTAGTTCATGATATGAAAATGGGTACTTTTATTCATGGTACAAAAGTGGATTCTTTATTGTGTTTTTTTTTTTTGGTTTGTTTTTTTTGTGTTTTTTTTGTTGAGGTCTTTACTGTGTGTGGTTTTTTTTTTTTTTTAATTCAAGGTACCTTTGAAAGGCATTATCTGCTATATTTTAAACACATTTTAAACTGTTGTATTTTACTGGCAGCAATCAATGAAGGATTCTGGCTTGGACTTAACGATCGACAGTCACAGATGACCTTTGTTTGGGATGACCTTTCACCTGTAACCTTTACAAACTGGCTTCCAAATGAACCCAATAATTATCTTGGGAGACACGAGGATTGTGTTAAAATACACACGAATGTGAGTATGAGATTTGGTCGTATATCACAATATCTGCATATGTTTCCTGTAGAGCTTAGAGAAGCAGCAATGGCTTTTCTTCTTCTTAAAGTCCATGCAGCGTGGCGTTGGTAGTCATGTCTATCCACAACCTTCTGTCTTGTGTACTTTCAGTCAACTCTGACACCGATTTTCCTCCATGCCATGAGGTCAAACTGTCTGGCATCTTTTACTCAGTTTCCCTCAAGACATCCTCATTACACTTTTTATGTGTCCAGAATTTTCTGAAGATGTGGTCTTTAAAACTGCACTTTTACAGATTCCAAATAATTGTTCCCTAATCTACTAACTGTCATTGATTCACTTATGTGTATCAAGATAGGATTTATATAGCTTCTAAGAATTCTCTTTCTCGTCTCAACTGACAAAGAAAGATTAAATAAAATATTCTTTATTTTGCAAAATGCTGCCTTTGCTTGAGCTATTCTACATTTAACTTCTTTAATACGTCTTCCGTCTGATGTGATCAGGGTACCCAAGTACTTAAACATATCAACTTGCTTGAGGTTTGTCCCATTTATTTTTATGTTGCATTTTGGAGGGGCAGTTTTCTCTGTAATTACCATTACTTCAGTTTTTGTACTGTTCAGACTGAGATCCATGTTTCCACTTTCTGTTACAATTATATCCGTCATTTCTTGCAGTTGTGTTTCATTTCCAGCGATCAAAACTATATCATCAGCATATCTCAGGTCGTTAATAACATGCCGACCAACTGATATTCTTGGCATACCATGTATGGATCTAATCATTATTTCACTGTACAAATGAAATAGTTGTTTTTATGAATGAATGAATACAAAAATTGACATCACCGCACTCGGAACATTCCCACACAAGCTCCATCTCCTTCTTCAGTAGCCAATGAAGAGTCATCATGCTTATAGTACCTGCTAATACCTGATTACAATTCCACCTGTTTCTTCCCTTGGTGTCAAACAGGACCACAAACACCGGAGCACATTCTGCAGACCTGCCCACTCTACATACAACTTCAAAAAGACACCTGGCCTCAAGAGCAAAGTGTGCAGAGCAAGCTATGAGGAACCTTGAAGGACCTGCTACTGACATGCGAGTTCATAGAGGCAATCTGCCTTTTGGTCTGATCTGAGCATACGAAACCAAACGCAGAGAATAAAAAGAAGATTACAATTCCAACTGTTTCTTCCCTTGGTGTTGAATATCTTCAAGAACCTCTAATTACTCCCTGATGACAGTCTTTCATTGTATTGATTCTCTGTCAGTTCTATTGGACTGTCCATTTGATCCCAGAAAGCCTTCATGATATCCACTTCATTATGCAGTATCTCACTGCCTATCACTGTCCAGAATAGCGGCAGCAGCCAATCTAACAGTCTGCTCATTACCCCACACACCTGACTGCCCTAGACAGAAAATCTCTGATATGCTCTTGATCTGAGTCTTATCAAGTGTATAGACAAGTTATCAGTTACCTTTATCAAAAATGTGAGCCCATGCTGTGATTGTAAATAATCTTCTTGTGTACATGTCTGGCAGGATGGGCAGTGGAGTGATGAAAAATGTGAGCAGAAAAATACCGGTTATATTTGTGAGAAAAAGATGGCGGTTTTGGACACACCAACCATCTCCCCGGATAAAATTGGATGCCCTATAGTGAGTTATTTGTGTCATTGAAATGTTTACTTCTAGTTTTGTAGTAACTTCTGTATGCTGGTGAATCAGATCTGAAACAAAGACACATACACACACAGAGTTGCTCTCTCTCTGTCTGTCTCTCTCTGTCTGTCTCTCTCTGTCTGTCTCTCCCTCTGACTTTCTTGTTTTCCTTCTGTAAACTAACATGATTGCATGACCTGGGAATAAAGCCTGGGGAAGCATGTCTGTGCTGCTTTCAAGGCCAAGATAGTTCTTTATCAGAACAGTCAGTAGAGGTACCTTGGAGTGACTGTGGCACAGTGGTATCTTCCACATCTCCCAAGCTCATTCAGATGTGCCTAAACGGAACATAGTATATAAGATAATGTTTGTACGTCTCTTGATTGTATTTGACAATGCAGCCAGTGATCCAACAAATCGATTGAAAACAAGTTTGTTTATTAAACAGTATAATGTCAATTTAAGCAGTACGAAAATATTTCCTTTAAACAAAAGTAGGAACACTTCAGTATATTATTACTGGCTATTCATATGTGACGATAAGTTCCTTAATTCATTGATGATTCGTAACTTCAATACATGTTGCTAGGACGTTACTTCATTACAAGCAGGTTATTACCTCTGTCAACTGTTTCTCCAGTTTCTCTTAACGTCCTGTAGAAATTTCTCTTCTAGCGAAGCCTAACCAGGTTTGCTTTCATCAACCTTTCACTCACAAGCCAAAGTTCTTGTCGACTGTGCAGCTTAACCCCCAGGCTCTGACTGTCCATCTCTCTCCTCCCTAGCCCACGTGATTTCTTCCATCGTTTTCCTTTCTCCCCACACCTGTTTCTTTCTTATTGTCCCTAGGGGGTCGTTTAGCATCCCTTGATGCTATCGTCCATTCATGGCCTTTCTCAATGCGATCATCTGTCGTCTTATCTTCCTGACACCACGTCTTTCCCAGTTGTGTACTTGCTGATCTCTCACATTCGGTCTGTCCATCTGTTTATCTCCATCTATGTCCCGTTTGTCCTGCTTTATATAAAGGAGAGATGGATCTCCTTATCTTCTCGGTACGCCCAGGGTTGCTATGTCTCCGTCCAAGATTTAATCGCTATCTCTGTTGAGTTTGACTTCCTCCAAGAAATCTGTGTTATCCTGATTAGTCCCGGGGGAGGGTTCCCGTCTTGCCTCGGTACCATCCATCGCCTCTTCATTCTCAGCCCGGTCAACCTCTGGTTCGACTAGTCCTGTTTCATTACCTATGAGCTGTTTGATAGGCTTTATGCATTGGTACCACCTGTTCACACACGCCCCCGGTTGTCACGCCAAAGCGATCTGTGTTCCTGTATTTACTCCCACGGGTTCTGGCATATTCTCGATGCAACCCTGTACCTGTTCACCCCTTCCTAAACCCTATTTCACCACATGACTGCTTCATCATGGGACTGAGCAAGCACAGAAATGCCCAATATGCAATGATGTTGATTTGATAACATAACATAATACTTTCTTTCTTTCTCTCCTGCATCTCTTTCTCTTCCCCTCTCTGTCTCTCTTTCTTTCTTTCTCTCAGTTCCTGCCTTGTTTGTCCTCCCTCATTCTCTTTATGTCTCTGTCTCCCCCTCTTCTCCTTGATTTTCTCTTTCCCACTCCTACTTTCCCTGGGTCTGATCCATTAATTCTTCCATTCCCAGCTGGCATTATAGACGATTTTCATGGGTGACAATAAGCAACCTGAAAACTAACACACGAGATAATTTGCTGCATGTTATAGCATGTAGCCAGATTTCTTTGGTATACTTGGACCAAAGGTAAAAGAAATGGCAACACATAATCAGTTACTTGATGCACATGGACAGTAGATTATCACACGTGGTGCCTTGATCAGGACAGATGGAGTTAACATCATCATCATCATTGGAATATTTCAATAAATAATGGAAGTCTTAATAACTTAAAAAAGGCTGACCTGCTCACACAAAAAGACATCATCATCAGGTGCCTTTGACAACTGACAACATGACTGTCTACAATCTGCGATCTGCAAAAGTATGCATCCGTTCATGTGCTGACACTCCTACATGCCATGATAAAAGACTGTCAAGAATTGTCTTCCTCTGTCTCTCTTTCCACAGATCTTTCCAGTGGTCACAACATGTTCCAGTTTCCTTCTTCTCATAACAAAATGTCACAGAATGTTGAAAAAAATCTTAAGTGTAAAAATATATAAGGCAGGAGAACTGACATGGGACTGCGAGGCTTACCCGTCTGCTGTGATGGGAGCAAATAATCTCACCAGATGTTGAATAATATTTAGGCAAATAAGAATTTTACATATAATTTAGTGTAGGTATCATAAATATGTGATGAATGAAGCAAATATTTGCATCAAAAAGATATCGTAAATAAATTATTCATGATGCAAAAGTTAGAATATAGATTACAATAATGTAAATATGTGATTAATGAAGCAAACATTGACATATGGATACTTGTATAGATTAATGATATCACGATATGTGATTAATGAAGTACAATTTGACAAACAAGTACTTGTGTAGATTAATGATATTGTAAATATGTGATTAATGAAGTACAATTTGACCAACAAGAACTTGCATAGATTAATGATATTGTAAATATATGTTTAATGAAGCAAAAATTGACATTCAATTATTTTTAAAGGTTAATGATATGATAAATATATTATAAATGATGCAGAAGTTGACATACAAATACTATCAACAGTTACTCTTTTTCAGGCTGGGTTTGCATATGGGTCCACATGTTTTGTTATTATAGACTCCCCAAAAACCTGGCTGGATGCCAAGAACTACTGCAGCATGAAGAATGCCACGTTGGCTACAATCACTGATAGGTACGTTTGCTTGACTTTTGCAGGAGCCAGTTTTTTTTGTTTTGACTCAATCAGGGATCTTTATGTAGCACATTATTCAGTCTAGTTGATTCAATATTGCCTTTATTAATCTTTGTTTGCTTCCGTTAATCTTCTTCTTCTTCTTCTTCTTCTTCTTCTTCTTCTTCTTCTTCTTCTTCTTCTTCTCATCCCTCTCCTCCTCCTCCTCCCCTCCCCCCTCCCATTCAATTCCCAGCACACTTGGTCTAAAGTAACTATCACTCTGTGCAAGGCTGTTTTGCTCGGCGACACTGTGATCCATTTCTCACCATACGCTATTTTGTCAGTGTACAATGTACAAACATAGGGACTTCTGTTTGTGCCATCCAAAAGCCAAATCTTTCCATTACTGATCCAGTGCACATTAATGGAGAATTACTGACTTAAGTACAAACAGATTAATGGAATCTTTTTCCCCTAAACATACAGAATAATTGAAGTGTTAGTGACCTCAACACATAGATTTAAAGCATCAATGACCTAATCACAATTTACTGGAAGTCTCCGTGTGGGTTCTGGGGTCCCACTGTGGGGAGGAAAAAAAAGACTCACTGCCCTCTAACAAGCATGTCATAAGAGTCTACTAATTAGGGATGTTTCTTTCAATGTCAGAGTGGATCTCCTTGAGAGATTAAGAACCAACAGTCTGCATTAAAAAAATTCCAGCTATGCATACACACAAAACTTAGCTGTGGAAAAAAACTAAAATCCAGAAGTTGATGAACAACTAGAACTTTCCACCAGACTTTTCAGTGATGAAGGCGAAGAAGAAGGAGAAGGAGAAAATGAAAAATAAAAAGAGGAAGAAGAAGAAGAGGAAGAAGAAGAAAAAGAGGAAAAAGAAGAGGAGGGGAAGGAGAATGAAACAGAGCGAGGGGTTATTAATGCGGTGAAATAATTCATTCATTCAGTTTATTCATTCATTTATTGGATCAATAATTAATCTGTTTATGTTTTTATGTTAAGATCAGTTGAGGTAATCTGTGCTTAGTCAATAATGCCTCTATTAATCTGTGCATGTGTTTAGGTAAAGAAAGCTTGCAAAACCATCATGCTTTTCTGATGATTCTCATCTTTATAAAACTGTATGTTTCAAGATGTGGTGTTTGTCTGTTTAAAAAAAAAAAAAAAATATTGACTGCATAGGTTCTACTCATAGTTTCCATGATATCTGACTGTAAAATGCATTGTCCTCTTGCGCCATTATGTGTCACATCGGGCTCACAGTCTGGTGCTTGATTCTGTTCTGTCCTGTGCCATCCCTTCAATGGCATGGATGGAATCTTGTCCAGCATCTTTGGCCTCTCTCAGCGGCATTAATTTGAGGGGGGGGAGGGGGGTTGTAGGCGTCCTCCCTTCCTCAATCTGTTTATTTCCCATTTTAATGCCTGTTTGGTAGATGTCTACTTATTTCTTCTCAGGGTGTGTCCAGTTGTTGTTTTCGGAAAGATCTGGTTGTTCATCCATTTCTGGACTTTGGCTTTGTTACAGGACCCAAGTTGTGCGTGTGCCTCTGTTTTACAGATCTTGCTTATTTGTATGCAGACTGTTGGTTCTTTGTCTCTCAGGCAGATGCACACCAACTTTGAAAGAAACCCTCAGCTAGTCGACTCTTATGACATGCTTGTTGGGGAGGCAGTGGGTCTATTCTTGTTTTCCCCACAATGGAATCTCAGAACCCACACGGGAAGATGTGTCCAGTAGAGCACCATCTTCTTTGACTTACAACTGTTGATACGAAAGGTTGCCCAGACATTTCTCTTGTTTCATTGCTGCTCTTGAATTCATCCCATTGTATGTTTGACATGTTGCAGCGTTACAGGAGCTTTCATCACATCTGAACTGCTACACAAGACAGCATCTTACTGGATCGGACTCTTCAGTGTCGCTGGGATGTATCGCTGGGATAGTGGCCATGAAATAGAGTACCTGGCCTGGTCTCCCTCCCACACAGGTGATAATGCATCAGTCTTGTGGTGACTCATTGAATTAATGAATTGTTTAGTGCAGTGATTCCCGAACTGTGTGTCCCGTCGAGCCGCGACCTCTTCACAGAATCGAAGAAAGGGGCGGTAACTGAGAAACGTTTGGGAAGCATTTCTTTAGTGAATGATGCTTTTTTTTTTTTTTTAGTTTTATAGCGTGATGTGGGAACGCTTCTTTCCTTTAAATCCCCATTGTCATCTTATGTGTTTTGTTGGCTTTTTTTTTTTTTAAATACTTGATTAGAACATGTTTAAAAATCTGGCGTCTCCACGAAATATATTTATTCTATTTAAAAGCCGTTTCCAGTTTGGGTTCTGAGGCTCAATTTAAGGGTGAGGGAGCGGGGGGGATAGACCAACTGTTCCCTTACAATCATGCCATAGGGAGCAACTAATTTAAAGTGTTTCAACAAATAAGCCAGATCTGTTAAATGGATGTGCGCTTAAAATCAAATTCTGGAACATGAACAAAGTCTAGAAGTGGATGAAAGACCAGAACTTTCTGCTGGAGGTTACAGCTAGTGGGTTCTAAATAGAAGAATATCCTTGAACCAGAAGACAGGAGTGTTAGCCCCATTGCTCCCATGGCTCCCCTTTGTCCTCAGTACGCTAAGAATTTGTACATATAGTAAAACTAGTCCTGGTAAGCATTATCCCTTATCTTATCTTTTCTTTCTTCTTCTTAGTAATCACAGGCTGACCTCTTTCTGTGCAGACTTTTGGTCGCATGCCTCTCAGGCAGATGCACATCATCCTGTGTTGGCCAGGCTGGAAATCTGACTCGTCACCTTTGCATTCCTATTGTGTTATATTGTGTGGGCTTTTTTTTATAGGGGGTATATGCCCCCTTGGGCATCAGCTTGAAACTCACTGGCTGAAAGAATGCAGCGGTTTATTTTTGTAAGGTTTTTTTTTTTAATCATGTTTGTCTTGGGGATATCACTGTGGTAAAGTGGCTAGATGCTGGCCTGCAGATCAGAATGTCATGGGTTTGAGTCCTGACAGAGCCAGATTTTTAAACACAATGACCTTGGCTCCAGGTCGACCCAGCCTTGAGTGAATAGCGAGTAACATCCAGGGAAGTAAAGGTGGCCGGCAAAATACAGACCAAATCACCCACCAAGTGCCCATTGGTCAGTAAAATACAGGTCTAGTCCTTTATGCCCATATGCATAAAAGCGTGGCCAAGGGTTCCTTACTTACTTACTTTCAATAGTTTGTCTTGAGGAAAACTTATGTTGCTGTGAGAGAAATCATGAACAGTTGTAAGATGTATATTATTTGTTCTGTTTGTCCTTAAAAAAAAAAATGTTGCCGCTGCAATGCTGTCTGTGGGGAGTTGGTACTTTGTGTGTTGTGCCAGGAGAAAAGTCTCGATATCAAATTCACTCCATTTGGGACCAGATGGCTTGCTGAAATCTCTTGCATCAGACCAAGAGTTAAACTCAGTCTTTGAGAAGGTTTGCCTCCAAGTGGCCCCAACCAAGAGTTAAACTCAGTCTTTGGGAAGGTTTGCCTCCAAGTGACCCTGGCCAAGAGATAAATTCAGTCTTTCAGAAGGTTTGCGTCTTTCAGAAGGTTTGCCTCCAAGTGACCCCGACCAAGAGTTAATCTTGGTCTTTCAGAAAGTTTCCCTCCAAGTGACCCCAACCAAGAGATAAACTCAGTCTTTCAGAAGGTTTGCCTCCAAGTGACCCCAACCAAGAGTTAAACTCAGTATTTTAGAAGGTTTGCCTCCAAGGGACCCTGACCAAGATTTAAACTCAGTCTTTCAGAAAGTTTGCCTCGAAGTGACCCCCCCCCCCCCCTCCCCCCTACCCTCTTTCCGTTTCAAAAAAAAAATCCAACCATTAAGAAAAACTAACGAGGCAAACAAACTAGCAGTCCTTCTACTCTGTACGGCTACCTCTTCACATTTTTATAATTTATCTGCAAATTGTCTTTTCTTTTTTCAATATATTGGACCTGTACAGCAGTCTTGATTTGATGTTAGAATTTGTTTTCTGCTGGTTTAAATGTTTTTATTTTGTTGTCTTCTATAAATCTCCTGGAAGAGCATCTCTTACCTTTTGAATTGTTATTTCCGGGAAAGCTAATCCGGTCAACAAATGCCTGCAAAAGTTGGATGTGTCGGCTGAAAGACACACAACGTAAACATAAACGAGCACAACACTTTTAGATCTTTGAATGAACGCAGAAGAAAAAGAAGTATTGTTATTTTGTTTGTTCCTCTTCTCCACCTGTGAATGTTTACACTTGTTATTTGTCATCATCATGTAGCAGGTCTTCTGCTTTCATCACAGCATGCCTGAAACAAAACTTGGTCTCTCCACATCTCTCCCATCTAGTGCACTTTCCTCCCCAAGGTTTCACTGATATCCTGTGCCCATCTTTGTGCTGGTTGACCCCTACCAAACTTTTCCAGTAACATGCCTTCTGCTATTTTACATTTCTCTTTCCAATCCACTGTGGCACTTGATGTTGCCAAAATAATTCAATTTCTGTGACAAAGTACTAAATATTCCCCTGTGTGGGTTCCGGGCCCTATTATAAGGAAAACAAGAATAGACCCACTGCCTATCTAAAAGCATGTCTTAAGAGTCGAATAATTGGGAGCTTCCTTCAAAGTCGGAGTGCATCTGCCTGAAAGGCAAGCAACCAGCAGTCTGCATACAAATGAGTCAGATCTGTAAAACAGATGCACACGCAACACTCAGGTTCTGGATCAGCACTGCAGTCCAGAGGTGGATGAATAACCAGAGCTTTGCACCGGAGTTTACAGCTAGTGAACGTGAAAAAGAAGAAGAAGATGCTAGTTACTAGCCAATCATCCCTGATGTTCATATCTTTTAAGATGTTAGTATTTCTTTCCAGCTTTGGTCCATGGTATTCTGAGAATATTTCTATAGCATTTTAGCTCAAAAGCCCCTATTTTCTTCCTTATTCACCTGCAAGTTAGTTTATAACTCACATCCGTATGTTGCTACAGGGAAGATGCATGCTCCAAACAATGTGACCTTGACTGCCTTGCTGGTGCTTAACAATAGACTTTTTATGCTGTTTACTGTTTACTACAAATGGTTATTTTATGTCAGCATTTATGTTTGATATCTGGTTTGAATGTTTCAGGAAATGAAAACAACAGTTGTGTTGCAATACGATCACAGAAGCCTGTTGGATTATGGGAAGATCTGAAATGCCAGAGTTTACAGCCATTTATATGCCAAACTTATCGACGTGGTTTTACACAGCCACCTCCAACTACAACTCCAGTGCCGACAACATTAGTACCGTGTCCGCCATCTTGGGCAGACTATAGAAATCATTGCTACAAAGTAGGTTGGAGGTGTCATATCATGTTGTTTTAGATTATTTTGTCTAAGGACTAGTATGAAGCCTTGACATATGACTTTTTTTTTTTTTCTCCAAATTTGTTACCTGCTCATGAAATTATTCTTGGAAAATTGCTGTGGTGGTTTTCCCTAGACATCCACTCCATGAAGTTGGTTTCAGCATTACCCAAGTGCAGCTGGTTCATCAGAAGCATAAGAATGGCTAGAAAATTACTAATAAAAGTCACACATTAATTAACTGGTTCACATACAAGTTATGACTACAATAGTACAAGGGAGTCATAAATGTGAAGTTTGAGCAGAGAACTAAGCAAATTTGAGTCTTCTTTTCTTCTTTTTATTCTCCCTGATTGTGGTTTTCAGCTGAGGAGGCTACAGGCTTCTTTGAAGTCTATTGTGTGGTGCACGTCTTCTGCTGTTCCAGACAGCATGGTTTCCATTGGAATGCCAACTGGCCAAACCTGGGATCTTTCTGCTGCATGTAGAGATCATGTCTGTAGCACGTGTTCTGTATTCTGTGGGGCCTATCTACATGGGCGAAATTCTGAATCCCCAGTCTTGAATTTCTTGTAGTACAAGTACAAGAAATATGGCTGCATCTTTTCTTCACCTCTAGATTCACCAGAGTTTGTTAAGATGTCTCCCGAAGATCAATATTAGCGATTCTGTCGTACATTTAATTCCCTCTGTTCTGCACAGTCACCAGTTAATGATGGTTCTCCATGTTTCCGCTCCATACAGCAGTACTGATTTGACTGACATTAGGATAACAAATTGTAAGTTTAAATCAGTTTTAATTGCTTTTGACCTCCACAAATTTCCTAGGACCAATGACTTATATGTACTATTCCGATTCCGTTTAGAAAAAAGAAAAAAATTCAACCACATACAACCTGCTGTTAGCTAGCCAAAGTTTCCAACAGTCCCCGGTTATATTTGTGGTCTACATACTATTATTCTTTGCAGAAGTTTGTAGCTTAAGTAACTCTGTGAGTTAATATATGTGTGTATTTTCTTTGTTTACAGATGTTTTTCACGCCTTTAAACTGGTTTGATGCCCAGACTGCCTGTGAGGGCTATGGTGGCAGTCTTGTTAGCATACGGGATGGTAGCACCAGTGAATTTATCAAAAGCTTGACAGGGTATGTTGGCGAAAATATTGCATTTAGTTGAAAGATGGTTCTCAGGTGAGAGAAATATCAAATTAATTTTGTTGAGTTATTGTTCTTTGTTTTCTCAAAGCTGCTGAATTGTCTGCTGTTGGCTATTCATTATTGTTTTTAGTAGCGTTTACGATCATTCAAGTGACCCACTTAAAAACGAAAGTAGAGAGCACTTAGTTACAAGATGGAGTCGGTGGTCCACGGAAAATGGCTCCTTTGCGTATCAGTTTGAAAACCCGTCGCTCAACACTGGCTGTTCTGAATCGAATACGTGGGCTCACAGTTATTCAGAAGAGGTTGCTCTACAAAACGACACCTAACTTACGTAGCGATCTTTGTTCAGCCTAATAAATTTCCCTATTTGCCATGCGGGAAGTAAATTTTCTTTAATATCTCTTGTTTTCGGTAAAATAAAAGACTCTAAAGTGACATTTTTGGATTCTGTGTCCATTT